GCTGGTTGTCGGGGTGTAGTACAAACCGAGAGTGCCCTAGCCCTTCAGCGAGAAAGCTATGGCCCGACTCCTTTGGAAAGCTCCTCCGACGATAGCAGGACTGCTGGTCAAAGCCCCGTGGCGACTCGACCGACATCACCCCCGGTTTTCGCATTACCCGACGACGTGCGCTGGGACGATGAGCTCGAGTCGATGCTATCGCTCAACGGATTTAATCCGGCAGACGAGGCGTCCTGGTACAATATTCCGCCTGTTATGCCAGGGGTCGATGTCTCCTGGAGCCCTGAGGACATCAAGCTCGATGACGTGAACTTCCTCCCCCCCATGACAGACATAGCCCCGATGACTGCTCTGTGGGTCGATGAACTTGTGCCGGAGCAAGTCCAGGTGGAACTGTACGTATCTTCTTTTCAGACCGCTTCTTTCTGCTCTTGGAGCGTTCAGGATCCTGGATTGACAGGCAGCGACGAGCAGACTTCCGCTCTACTTTGACAATGCGCACACGGGATGCTTCCTTATCGACCAAGATACCTTCCATATGCGCATGCGGACGTCGGAAACGCAGCCGGAGGTTGCCAGCCTTCGGTATATCGTGCTGGCTCATGGAGCGTGTTTCTCTCGTTCGTATGGCGATTTGAAGGATAAATTTTACCGAAAGGCGTGTGACTTGGTCGAGCAGGTCGACATCGCTGAGCAGTTTGTCAGCATAGCCACTCTCCAAGCCTGGGTTCTCCTCGCTCTCTACGAGTTCAAACAGGCCAACTTTGTGCGGGCCTGCAATCGGGTTCGTCAGGCGATCCTTATGTCCGAGATGCTCGGACTCCACAAGTTAGACCAGCCCGGGCTGCCAGGGTTGAAGCAAAACCCATTCACGGATGGACGGTACTTGGAGGAGCAACGACGTGCCTTCTGGTCGGTCTTTAACCTCAGCTGTTTTGCCAGCATTGCGACCGGGTGGAACACTGGAATGCCGGATGATCCGAACGAGGTAAGGCACTTTCAGTCTTGCCGTTCATTGTTGGTATGAAGGTGTCTCCAACTAACCAGCAAGTCGCGCAGATCACCACCTTCCTGCCCGCCGATGGTACCCTGAGCACGTATACTGTCGCGTCCGGCATCACGTTGCGAGATGCCTTCCATCTCGCCGGGTCTCAGGACCTCGGCGTTACCCACGGTCATATTGTCACCTCGACGCTCTACCGACAAGGCTTCATGCACGTCAATCGCGCCTCGCTCAGCCAGCAAGCCCTTCCGGACGTCTGGAACTACGACTTTTGGATGCACCACTATCATCTCTACGAGCGACTCAGTCATCTGGCCGCCACTGAGTCAAAACATATCACTTCCAACATGAGTGCCGACACGCTCTGCAAGAACATGGTCTTGCAGGCCACCCTGATTGCCCTCTACTACGCCGCCGGAATGCGCACCCCAAAGACCGACAGCCCAATTCGACCTCCGATCCCTAACAATGCCGACGACAAATGCCTCACGGCCGCGATGAAGGTCAAGGAGATTGCCGAGCTGATCACACATATGAATGTGGCAAGGGTATAGATTCTCTCTCTCTGTCTCTGTCTCCGGGGTCGATGAGTACTCACTAACCCCTCGCTAGATGAGTCCCTTCATTCCCTGGTCGATCTTCGTGGCGGCTCAGATCTTCGTCCGGCACCTTCACGGCAGCTCGACCCCCAGCGAGAGCCAGAAGAGCGCACGTCTTGGGTACCTAGATGCGCTTCGATCGCTTCTCTCAGCCCTCTCGGTCCTAGAATCCACGAATCCCATTGCGGGAGTCCTGGCCAGCCAGATCCGCATGGAACTGAACGGCGGCAAAGCTGTGAGTGATACCCGCTCCATCGGTCGGCTAGACTGCGGACTGGAGTTGTAAAATGCACGATTGTATGACGATATGCCCTTCACGTTGGTTTAATCTGGTATTTGCTTTTTATTGTCTCGCATACCGGCTTCTGTTCATGTTTATACTAGGGAGATTCTTTTTATATGCCACTAGAAATGACACGTTAGCGTACTATTGATCAAGCCGGACTCGTATCTGGGTTTGGTCCCGCTGACCCAGCTGATCTCGTCGGTGGAGTCGCAGTCAAGGCTTGTTCTCCCTTGGTTGAAGCTTAGTTGCTTATCGTCGCCTTGTCGCCTTGTCCCCGGCAAAACGAGGCATCAACCGGATAACACTAAACCAGTTCGGGACGCCGACCAGACAGCTGACTCATCGAGATTTGCCCATTTCGGACGCCGACCAGCCTCAGGCCCCCAAGCTCTACGTGCGCACTGGCGGCCTCACTGATCGCTAGACAAGTATAAGGACTTCCAGGAGGACTGTCCAAATCAAGGAGTCATGCCCTCAAGTCCAGCACCACCAGCCCTATACACAACCGAACACACTCCAAGATGAATCCCGTCAACACTGAACCGTACCAGCTGCCCGATGACGCCGTCTGGTTGAGTGAGTACGGATCTATATTTTCCCTCGAGAGTTGATTGATAACCAGACCCTTAGTCACCGGGTGCTCCTCGGGCATCGGCCGAGAGATCGCCAGTCTGGTTGCCAGCAAACCGAGTCAGCGCCTTATTGCCACGGCGCGCGACCCGTCCAGTCTCTCGTATCTTCCCGCCACCAGCAATATTCTCAAGGTTGCTTTGGACGTCACATCCCTGACGTCTGTGAATGATGCGTTTAAAGCGGCCGCAGAGCACTTCGGCAAGGACTTCTGCCTCGACGTCGTGGTGAACAACGCTGGCTATTCCTTGTCTGGCGACACCGAGTCCGCAACGGAAGAGGAGAGCCATCAGGAAATCGAGACTTTATTTTTTGGAACGGCGCGGGTGACGATGCGCAGCGTCGCGGTCATGCGTCAAGCCAAAAGCCCCGAGAGCGGCAGCTTCCGCGGCGGATTGATCTTCAACATTTCCTCGTTGGCAGGTCTATGCGCCTTCCCCGGTCATGCCTACTACCACGCAGGTAAGTTTGCCGTGGAGGGCTGGACCGAATCGGTAGCCAGAGAAATGCATCCCGACTGGAAGAGTAAGTCCCGTCGTGATAGTGGCGCAGCGATCGCCTCACTAACCCCCTCTGCACAGTCAACTTCTGCATCGTGGAGCCCAGCGGCGTCAAGACCAACTTCGAAGGACACAGCAAGGCGAACACGAAACCCCATCCCGACTACACTGACGACATGCCCGCGCGGAAACTTGCCGTGTGGGTGAGTAAAGGCATCCAGGCCGGCATGGGTCTCGAACCGTCGGCTGTAGCGGAGACACTGTTTCGGGTCGCCAGTCGAGGCGAGCGCGTGCCCCTGCGCCTTCCGCTGGGGGCGACGTGCTGGAAAATGGCCAAGTCTAAGTACGAGAGCTCTTTAGCGGAGCTTGAGGCAATCAAGGGGATTAGCGGAATGGGCGAGGAGATTTGAATTGGCGGTCCTTGTATGTCGATAGTGATGCACATCCGTGGTATTTCCTCCCAGAATGAAAGCCCATTCCGTATGATGTCTAGAACAAAAGTACCATTTGGCTCCAAAGACCCGGCACCAGATGAGTTCCCCTCGGTCCCGGCAGACTTTGTCAGCAGAGATGATGGAACGTGCTTCAATGATGCGATAACCGGCGAGCAGCTGTTTCGGTTAATAGCATGTTGTCAGGGGTTGTCAGGCCTAGATGCGTCTCTTAGAAATCAGTCCTTGAATAATTAATCCGTAGAGATACCCTGCAGATCATGGATGCAGCTGCAGAGCGCTAGGCTGAAAATAGCCTTGGTCTTGAGACGCCAAAGAACTTGCGACGATAGCAGAAGGAAAAGACTACGGAGGACGGAGGCGAGAGAAAATGCAAACAGGACAAACAAACACGGTGACTGCGGGTCGTGCCGAGCGGGTGCTATGTTTATTTTGGATTGCCGGTTGCCGATTAAAAGTGTATTTGATCTGATTTATTTTTGTGACATCTTTGAAGTATGTGAATGTGCTTTATTTACTTGACAGTAGTCCCTGTACTTATGGCTATCTAGTCCCTGGGAAGGTTCCAACTGCGGTGTATGTCGACATTCGTCCTGTCCACCCTTTCATGACTCGTGATATATATTTTTGCTTGCAGTAGCTTTGTCAAATGACTTGGGCCAGCAAGGTCTGCAGAGTAGTGGATCAAGACCGAATAGGAAAACAGCCCAACATACCGAGTATAAACGCCATCTTTACTAAATATAATCAGGAGAAACTAAAAAGGCAGGGGAATCTTCACTGTACAAGCCCACAAGGAAACTCGAATCCGCGCTCGCCAAAGCATCCGGCACAAGAATGCTGGTTCTGTACAGGCGGGGCATACAAGGGATTGGCGGAATATTCCTACACATCCCTGCTGTACTGAAGTCCTAGGGATGCCCTACTGCAAAGCGAGCACACTTTCTACATTACGCCCGGATAGACTCCGAATGTACTCCGGACAGACACCGCAGTGCAAAGTACCGGTAAATCGGCTGCAGCTCGGCGGAGACCCGGGAGATTCACGGCGGATACATATCGATTCTGGTCGATCATCCATACTCCGGACAATTATTGGCCGGGTCAGAACCCCGGGCGCTGTATTGTAGGCCGGGTTCGCTCTAAGGCCCTAAGGCCGCAGCCCTTGGGGAGGGTGTGAGCCTAAGGCCGACAGGCTGCGTCTGGCAGTGCATGGGGCGGCCTCAGGTATCAGGTGTCCATAGCCTCGTCGTGCAAACAAGACAAACTCCATAGTCACCTGATTCGCTCCTACCCGATGAGGAAGAGACGCGTCCTTTCCCTTCCGAGACTAGCGTTTCAGTCGTCGCCTGGAAGGCCGCGGCATCTGCTCTCGACTGCCTTCACCTCTGTGCCATCAATGCGAGGGTCTAAACAAGTCATATTCAAGGTCATTCTATACGAGCAAACTAACACCAGAAACTAACAACAGAAACATGCATTCTAGACAAAGGACGCCCTGAGATCACATCATACCCTTCCATTTCCCATCTACTCTAGCAATCCCATGCTCTCCGCAATGGCTGTCGACAACGCCTTCACCGTCATCGTCGAGGCCAACAGGAGCTGGAACGAGAGATCCAACCCGAACTGCTTGAAGAGCCAGTTGCGCAACTCCGCTCCGATCATACTGTCGATACCGTAGCTAGCCACTGACCCGTCGTCAAACTCGAATTGTTCGAGACTGACGAGCAACATCCGCGACAGCTTGTCCATGACGGCCGCACCGATCGCCTGGACGACAGCGTCAACCCCTTCGGCGCGTGCTGCCTTCAAGGCGCTGGCGAGATCGCTATCGCCGCCGCTTCCGCTGGCCAGAGAGTCTTCCGCCACCGACTCGACGGCGGCGCGGACGTCGCGAAGACGCGCGTCCGGAAGCCAGTATGCCTCGTCGCTCGAGTCGGACGCGGCAATGGCGGCGGCAAGATACGCGGGCTCCAGACCCAGGATGATCTGGGAGTTGCCGATGGCGGCGGGGTTGGTGGCCGAAGGCGCGGGCACGGACATGGCGGTCTCGAAGCCTCGGAGCATCTCTTGCTCGTCGATGCCGTACATCGCCTTGCGGGTGAGGGCCAGCTCGATGTTCTCGTTATCGGCGACCACACCCACGTCGAGGATCATAGGCAGGATGAGCGACGTGGCCGGGAGCTGGTGTCGGTTGCGCTGCCAGGCGAGACCGTCCAGATAACTGTTACCGGCGCTGTAGTTGGCCTGGCCCGGGTTACCCAGCGTGGCGGAGATGGAGCTGGTCATGACGAAGAAGTCCAGCTCAAGCTGAGCTGACTGGATCACCTGGTGCAAAGTCTCGGCTCCGTTCTTCTTGGGAACGATGGCGGCTTGGAACTGCTGGAAGTTCATGCCGTCGAAGATACCATCCTGGAAAACAGTCAGCACCTGCTCCAATCAAGTTACGTGCGAGGGGCCTACCTGAAGAACCATGGCTGCGTGCACGACACCGCGGATAGGACGGCGGGCCGTGACGGTGTCGACGACGCGAGCAACGTCCCCTTCGTTGGCAGCGTCGGCGCGGAAGACGTCGGCAACTGCGCCCGCGGCTTGGATGGATTCGACAAGCTTCACAAATTTTTTAGCAAGTGCGTAGGAAAGGGGGCGGAGAAATAACATACTGCCGCGGCCTCGGGTTTTTCCGTGCCAGATCGAGACAAGAAGACAAAGTCCCGGGCTCCCCGGTCCATCATCCAGCTAGTCAAGCTGCGTCCTAGTCCACCCAGACATCCAACGAGAAGGTAGGTTGCATCGGACGAGAACTGGAGTTTCTCTGCTTCGGGTTGGATCTGGGAAAGGTAAGTGGATGTCCGAATTGAAGTGAAAGGCTGCGAAACTCACCTTGACGACGACATCCTCCCCATACCTGTACTGTAGGACCGTAGCTAAGGGGGATGTTAGTTGCTCCTGGACGCTGGAAACGTCGCTCAGCGCGGTCACATCCACAATCTTGGGTTTCCGCAAAAGGTCTGGGTACTGGCGAATAATGTCAAGTGTTTCGTTTAGAAGCTCGCCCAGTCTCTGCTGGTCCTTCTTGTACAGCGTTTCAATGCTTATAGGCAAGAAAGTCGCGCCGCGGCTGAAAGGAAGGACATCCGGCGTGTCTTCCACAATGCCGGAGGCGATCACAAATCGTCCCAGCGGCGCAATGAGTCTCCAGGCCTCTTGGGTCAGAGTGGAGAAGTCGTTGGCGATAATGACCGTCGGCCTTGAGTCACTCTCCGGGTGCAATCGGGGCAACGGCCGAGCGCCCGACACGAGGATGTTTACCTTTGCGGATGATGGAATCTCGCGGAGGATCTGCTCGCGCTCCCTGTCGTTGGCGGCCAGAATGTCCAACTGGAAGCCGAAAGCAGCCTGCAGACCCGCCACGCTCTGGACAAATGGTAGAGGGCTGGGAAGCAATAAGACATGGTCGTGTGCCTGCACGCGCCCCGTCTGCCGAACGGCTAGGACGGCAGGTAGCAAACTGGGGAGCGTCGCGGCCAATTCGGCATCGTCAAAGTCAGCGTAAACGGCGGCTCGGCTGTTGGGAACGGTGGCAAGCGTCAACAGTGAGCTATACGCATAAGTGACAGCCTTTTGTCCCAAGAGTCCTGCGTCCAGGTCCGGACCCGCCGCGCTGATGGTACCCGTCACGATACGAGGCCCGGCAGGGGTGGTGGCCTGGATGTCGCTCTTTTCCAGTTCCGAGGCCTCGACCTGTAGCTGGATCTCATTTGCTTTGGGGCCAACTAGGCCCTTGGAGTGGAAGACCAGGGAACCCTCGACAACAGAACCGTCCAACGTCTGAAGACGCTGAAGCGGTTGCTCTTGCACGGGTTGCTGAGAGGCCGCGAACCGGTCGTTGAGAGGGACGTTGGGAACCACGCGAGGCACGTGGAAGGTGTTATTGTGCAGCCAGAATTCGGTGTCTTCACCCGAGTCTTTGGTCTCGATGTGCTCGAGACCTTGCTCGACGGCGATCTTGAGCACGGTCGCGTTGGTACCCACGTCGGTGTCCAGCAGAGTAATCTTGGCTGTGGCTTGCTCCGATCGAACGGCACGCAAGAAGCCCTGGGCCATGGCGGCAGACGGCGAGCTACCCTCTCCAATACCAGAAGTCAGCCAAAGGACCGGCTTGCCTGAGGTAAGGATCGTTTTGAGAGCGTTGAAACTGTCTTCATTCAGGGTCGACAGCAGTAGGCCGTCGGCGTCGTAGACGATGAATTTGGCAACATCGTCTGGGCGGACGGTGACTTCCGAGAGAATTTCAGCCTCAACAGTACCGCGACCATCAGCCAAGAGATTCTTGAGGACGGTCGCTTGCGTATCGGTTTCGACACCACGGTGAAAAATGGCCACTGGGGCATCAGAAGGCGCGTGGCCGTTCTGGTAGGGCTTGGGGTTGGTGGTATACAACACAGTGGTGTCACCAACCGGCACTAGGAGGGGGTTGGTGAAACCGGTAAGCGACAGTTCCCTCGCCAGCTGAGAAGTCTTCGAACTCTCTACCGATACGAGGGCTTTGCCATCTTCAACCAGGAAGGACTTCCATGCGGTAAGGTCTGTGCCAGGACCGAGGATGAGGAGTTCTGATGGGGCTAGCTCCTCGGTCGTGGCGAACCACGATGCTGTACTGGGCAAACCAAGGTTGCTCTTGAGCGACTCGAAGTATTCCTCCGAGGCGTCGACGACAGTGAAAGTGTCGGCAAACGGAATCTGAGCTTGCACGGCATGAATCAGTTCCTCACTTGGCCGACCAGCGAAAGTGACACTCTTGATAGGCTTCTTGTGCTCAGCCAGTTCAACAATGCAGGCCATGGCCTCTGCCTCGGACTGGGGAGACGGCAACAGCGCTGACAGCTCCTCGCTTCTGGTCAGCGTCCACAAGTCGGGCTTCCACACGGTCTGCATGTATGGTTCGCGAGCTCGCGGCTCGCCCACCTGGGGAGGCACCGCCGCCTCGTAGGCAACACATCGGAGGCTCTTGACATCCAGCACGGGCTTACCACTGGGAGTTGAAAGCTTGGTGTGGGTGTTGAAATAACGACCGCCCACCTCGTCGGTCCATGCCACGGCGCTTCCAACTGTTTCTCCCTCCTCTTCAGGAGACCAGATGGTCAACTCTTCGATGTTGATCGGCACAACACCGTGCGGCATCTCCTGGTGACGACCGCGGTTGATGGAGATGATGATGAGCTGTAGACATCCGTCGATGGTCGAGGGATGCAGCAGATATCGCGATTCGCCCACAATCAATCCGCTCTCCTGCTTGATGTCCACCTGCGCGGCGGCGTGGTAGAGGTTGGGGTTCGTACGGATGGCATTCAAAGGCTGGAAACTGGGGCCATACTCGAAACCGACGCGGTGGAAGGCCTCGTACCAGCGAGGCCCGGGCACGCGACGGGTCAGCTCGGAGACGTCGACGGGATGGTCATTGTGCTCAGCCGTCGAGGGTTCGGGATTATAGTTCGCGGCGACTTTGCCCTCGCAGTGCACGTTCCACTGTTCGTTGGAGAAAGAGCGAACGGCGAACGAGTACCACTGTTCGGGCTCGTTACTGGGCTGCAAAGCCGTAAGTTGAACGAGGATCTCAATGCCATCGTCTGTCTCCGGCACGACCAAAGCGACCTTGATCGCGACGTCACGGAAAGTGATGCTCGACAGAGATAGACCCTCTTGGTCCCAAATTTGGTGGATAGCCTCATAGGCGAGAGACAAATGTCCGGCAGCGGGAAAAACATCCGAACCGCCAAGCTAAGTATCATTAGTATGACTGATGGTGGCTCTTTGGAAAAGACTTACTCTGTGATGAGCCAACCAGGGTACATCGCGTCCTCGCAGAACGTTTCGCCACACCAGGGAGCGGTCCGACAGCCCTGGCACTTTCCGTCCCAGCAGATCGTGACGGAGATGGACAAGCCTGCGAAACTCATTACTAGGCCGAGGCTCGGCCCAGTAGTTCTGGTCGTAGTTCCACTGGTACGGAGGAAGATCGGTGAGGACCAAAGGCCGCTGAGGCTTGAGCAGGCTGAGTCCTTGTGCGACTTCGACACGGTTGACACGGTCAATGTCGACGGCGTAGTTCTGTGCCCACAGTGCACCGGCCGTCTTCAAGAGCTGCACGGCGCTGTCCTGGCTACGGAGAAGCGAGGGCACATAGGCGAAGCGATCGAACTGATTCTCCTTGCAGATCTGCTTGAAAGGTCCGCTGAGAGCGGAATGAGGACCGACCTCAACCATAACGGTCACGTCTTTCAACGCATCAAGCTTACCAAGGGTGGCAATGGCCGAGTCAAAAAGCACGCGACTGCGCAGGTTCTGACTCCAATAAGTGAAAGGCACAGTATCTTCCTCGATCTCCTCACCAGTAACCGACGAGACCCAGTTGGCGCGTGGGCGGCGATCCTCTAGGAGATCCGGGGACAGGGAGTGGTAGGCGTCTTGTAGCAGGACGTCATACACCTTGGACACGGGATCCATCTGCCACGAGTGATAGGCCTTTCCAGTCTTCAATTCGCGCGCAAAGATGCCCTCCGCCTGCAGGCGAGCGGCCAGCGCTTGAACACCGCTGTTGGTGCCACTCAGAGTAATACTGACGGGAGAGTTCTCACAGGCGATGACAACGTCCCCTTCAGTCTGTTTCAGGTAGCTCGCGACGCTGTCGCGTCCCAGACCGACAGCCAGCATGGCACCCACAGGCGCGTGGTGCGTCACGGCAAACCCACGAAGGTATGCAGCTACGATAGCTTCAGCGGAGGAAATGCGGCCGGCAGCGTAGGCCGCAGCAATTTCACCGGAGGAGTGGCCCACAGTGACGGCGGGAATGATGTTCCACTCGGCAAAGAGGTCAACCATGGCGATCTGGACTGCTGTGCAGACAGGCTGGGAGACCTCGGCATCGCTGACCCGGGAGGTTTCCTTGGGCTCCAGCAGCGCATCTTCAAGAGTCCAAGTGGGAGCTGATGGGAGCTGCTGCAAGACTAGATCAAGGCTGCGGATAGTGGCCAGGAACGAGGGGAATATTTTCATTGCCTCAGCCCCCATGCCAGCCCACTGCGCACCCTGCCCCGTGAAGATGAAACCCAGCTGAGGGGCATTCTTGGGTGCAACACCGAACTGGAAGGAGGACAGAGCAAAGTCAGACTCGAGGGTCTTTTCGGATGCGATTGTGAACGCCCGGTGGGGGAATTTCGTGCGGCGCTGTAATAGAGTGTAGGCCAGATCGGCCAGGTAGAATTTATCGGCCACCTTAGAGTGAGCGACGATGTTGCGCGACAGAGTCGCCTTGTCGTGTGCGGAGAGACCAACCAGGAAGGGTCGCGAGGCCGAGTGATTGTAGTTGGCCTCGTTCTTAGGCTTGCCATGCTGATAGTGAGGGTATATTGACTCGATGCTCTCTACAATGACGTGGCCGTTCGTACCTCCGTAACCGAAGGACGACACACTGGCACGACGCTCAGGGAAGTCCTCTGGCCAGGGGATGGTGTCACGGTTGACTTTGATGTTCCAGTCCTTCTCCTGGATTGCCGGGTTGAGGTTCTTAAGCCCAGACACTCCAGGGATAACGGCAGCCTCGGTCATCATGGCGGCTTTCATGACGGCAAAGATACCACTGGCCGCCTCGCTGTGTCCGATGTTGGCCTTGATAGCACCAATCAACAGCGGTCGTTCCTTGCTCCGAGTATCGTTCATGGCCATGGAAACGGCGTGGCTAGATAGAGGGTTAGCACAGATAAGATGATGTATGATGAAACGCAACGAACCTCTCGATAGGATCTCCCACGGGAGTACCAGTACCATGGCATTCCAGGTAAGCAGTCCTCGACGGATCCAAGCGAGCTTTCTCGTAAGTTGTTCGGACCACACGCTCTTGGCCTTTCTTGCTGGGATGGGTGATTCCCATACCGGGGACTTTACCGTTCGTGTTGACCGCCGAGGAGCGGATGACGCCACGGATAGGATCGCCATCGCGAATAGCGTCGGACAAACGCTTGAGAAACAGCGCGCCCGCCCCCTCAGCACGGCCATACCCATCAGCCGTCTCATCGAAAGTGTGGCAGGTCGAAGTGGGCGAGAGAATGCCTAGCTTGGCGGTGTTCATATGCTGGTCAACGGTAAGAATCAGGTTGACACCACCCACCAGCGCTGCAGAGCAGTCCCGACCGCGAAGTGCATGGCAAGCATTGTGGATGGCGTAGATCGAGGACGAACAGGCCGTGTTGATGGTGAAGCTGGGGCCGTTCAGGTCAAAGACGTTTCCAATTCGGTTGCTAATCAGCCCCGGGTCAACACCAGTGGCCGCATAGTTGTGGCGGAAGTCAGTCTCGCGAGTGGACAGCTGCTGGTAGTCACTGGTGAAGCTGCCGACAAACACAGCCGTGTTGGTGCCAGCTACCTTCTCCATAGTCAGACCAGCCGACTCTAGACACTCGTAGGTGACTTCGAGCATCTTTCGCTGCTGAGGATCCAACCACCGCGCCTCGATAGGGGTCATGTTAAAGAAAGTTGGATCAAAGCTCTCCACCGGCTTGTCCAGGAAGTATCCACCGGCGACATTGAAACTTCCAGGTCGCTCAAGATTGGGATGCAGGTAGGCATCGATGTTGAACCGCGACTCGGGGACACGAGGGGTCTGAACGGAGCCCTTGTTGACCAGGAGGTCCCAGAGGGAGGACGAGGAATCGACACCACCAGGAAGGCGACATGCTACATTGATCGTCTGATTAGCGCACAGGGTGAGCAACCGCCGAGTAAGAGAGGAACTTACACATTCCAACGATAGCGATGGGCTCAAGGACAGTGTCCTCCATGGACTTGGTCTCTTCAAAGTGAGGCATTTTGATTGGCCGTGGGACTTGATGAATCGTATGAGCAGAACTCGAAGCACTAGACTGGAAGACTAGAGATTGGAGTGACTGAGTGCACTGGAACGAAAATCAGACCACCGCCTGTTCTGAACAGCTATATCAATATACAGTTGAGGTTGTCGTGCCCCCACAAGAGGCCAGGATTGGATTCGTTATCCCCTCCCAACGGCGTTTCTAGAGCGGATTCGGCGGCTCGCCGCCGCTTGGACGGAGAAGACGGAATCGATTGGCCTTCAATCGGTCCGAATAAGTCAGATTGTGGAAACATTGATGACTTCCACGATTTGTCAGGCCGGGCATCGTTCGAAATCCTGTTTCCGGAGTGCTGCATCGTCCTCGGGGGACTCGGCGAGGCTGACGGAGCGCGCCGGGCAGATCGTACATGGTTTGTACGTGGCTGACAGCATTCTATGACGGTAGAGAAAGCCTTTTATCTCGTATTTCCTTAATCTTTCGCCCCTTGCCGCGGCGCGGGGAAGTCTGAGGGCCCTTCTTACCCATCTTGTCTCTCTGCTGTATACCTTGCGTGCTTGCATAATCTATCATGCCGTCCGTCAGCGGAATATGGTTTCTGTTTCTCGCCACTGCTGCAACTTCCCTTCTGTGGGGGGTCAGTATCTGGAACGGAACTGTCAAGGAACTGCTTTTAACAGCCTACCATGGCAAGTTTGAAGATGGCACTCCGTTTCACACTGAATATACCGGCTTTCTTCCACTCGACTTCCCTATTGCTGTCCTAGTGGCCTTTTTCTATTATGGAACAAATGGATCCCACCCTGGCTACCAGCACTTTCTCGTGGATGCCTATTCCACGTTACAGCTGGCTTTTGTCTGGTTGCATGTTGAAGGTCTCCGACTAGAGGACAAGCCATATTTGGTTGCAAAGTAAGAATTCTATAACGCTCGAACACACTGAGCCCAAGTTCTGGTGACAGCTAACCTAAGTCCCATTTTCTGCGAAGTCCTCTTATCTGGGGTCTCCTTTGGCAAGCACTCGGTGGTGCCGTTGCCTGGCCTATTTACTTTTTCTGTCACATTCGCTGGTTTAACTCCCGACAGGAACAGCTTCGTCCGCTTTCCCTATCGTCCGCAAATGCTCTCCCATTCAGCTTCCTTCTGGGTGCAGTCCTCCCTACCGTGATTGGCATGCTTCCGACCTGGTACCCTCGATCGCCTCACGTCCATCAGTTTGTACTAGCAGCGTGGCAGCCTGACCCTATTTGGGTAGCAGTGATTCAAGCTCTGTTCACAAAGCTCCTCTCTGCACCGGAAAACGCAAACAAGGCCGTGTGGTGGACGCGAGCTTCCCTCTTATTGTCAGCGGTGGCGTGCACAATCGGACACTCACACACTATGTGGACGGTTATTACCTCGTCCGATGAGCGACTCAGTTTTTCACGCATGTATATTCCCCATCTAGTGAACGGACCACAGGACGCCATGGTTCGACTCGCAAGCGGTCCCTGGCTCTTCCTACAATACGATCTAATTATATACTCGTTGGCAAGTGTGTCTTGGGCCTATATTCTTGTTTCGCGATTGGTGACACCGGGAGCGCTGCCTCGCCTCGTGATGTTGCCAACGCTTTTCATAGTGGGGTCGTTGATCCTGGGACCTGGAGCCACTGTGTCATTGGCGTTGTTTTGGAGGGAGGGAACTGTTCCGTTGAATCGAAAGAATAGAAGATTACCCAGAAAGTCATTCAATAAATTGAAGGAGTGAAGTGGGACGGCTTCCTGATGCTGGGGCGGGAGTCTCTCCGAATTCGATTTAGCCTTCTAAATGATTCACTCTAAATATTACTGTGATTACGCTATATGATCTTCGACGATATAAATGAACGATATCTGAATATTGGAATACGAAGTTAAAAAACGGAAATAGTTTCGCTTCTTAGACAGTAGGTGAAGCGTGGGCTCCTAAGTGTACGAGATGACTGTAAACAGCCAGACACCTGGGCCACTGCAAAGCCTACAAACTGGGGATACTTTCATTAAACTCGGCGATGATTCATCAGAAAATCAGGACATTACCATGGTGTTGCCCATCGGTTCCCAGTCTGAAAAGTGATGGCCACAAGCCAAGAGTCTCTACCAAAAATCCGAATTCTCCCTGTCTCATCTCAGCAGCCACCAGGTTCGGAGACCATCCCGGCGGTATCTCGGAGTGCAGTAAGGCGCTGGATCCTTCGGTCCGGCGAAGGGATCTGACTGGGAATCAAATCCCTTATGCAGTGATATTCGGAGCCCGTCCCGAGGACTGGGTCGTATTCCAATGTAGTTCGCACCTCACAAGGAGGGGCAATTCGATTATCTGCTGAAATGTGCGTCTACGGGTGGACGAATGCTTACATTTTTCTCATACTGTTATCTATCTCTATTCTATATTTCGCCCAATTTGTCGTGAGCGTCCCCATTTCCCTCGCCTGCTGGTCTCTCATCCGGAATCGACGCGAGCTGGTCTTCAACCATCCAATGGAAAATTCGACCTGAAGTTCCTGCTATTGTACAGAACACAACGCAGGATGGGATCAATCGAAACTCAGAAGGTCGATGTCGCGATTATAGGGGCGGGTAAATTAATCTCGATTCTATGCGTGCCTCTAGGGATCACTGCTAATTACCCGAGGCGGGCATGAATAGGATGGTATGGCCTTGTCGCAGCCAGAACATATCTTCGTCTCTGCCCCAATGCAAACCTACTTGTCATCGATTCCGATTCCACCGTGGGCGGCGTTTGGAGCGAGGACAGATTATACCCGAATCTTGTCGCTCAGGTCAACCTTGGTCTGTTCAACTACACTGACACTCCTATGCCGGCCGATGGAATGACCAAGGACCGCCAAGTGACCGGGCGTATGATCCATAACTATCTCCAGCGATACGCCGAAGACCACGATCTCCTCCGCTACATTCGGTTCAACACCTTCGTCAACCGAGTGGAAAAGATATCCGGCGGATGGCGACTATACTTTCGCGACTCCGAGGATATCGTCGAGACTGCCAAGTTAATGGTCGCGTCGGGGGTGACATCTATACCTAACATGCCATCTCTTGACGACACCGAAGTCTCCGTACCGGTTATCCACTCTATGAACCTGGGTGCGTCATTTGAAGATATCAAGAGACCCGAGATCAAAGAGGTGGTCGTCGTCGGAGCAGCTAAGTCTGCGTACGACGCTGTCTATCTTCTCCTGACCATGGGCAAGAAAGTCACTTGGGTAATTCGACCAGGAGGTGCCGGTCCTCTGGCTATTCTCCCGTCCAAATTGCTCGGCTTCTGGACGAGTATTGGAGTGGCATCGACACGACTGATGACTGGTCTGAGTCCTTCAATCTTCAATACCAACGGAATACTGTACTCAGTTTTCCAGAAGAGTCCCGTGGGAAGATGGGCGACTGGACGCTTCTGGGACACGGTGGCATTCCTGAGCGACTTTCATGCGGGATACTATAAAGGCGACCATGTGGCCAAGCTACGACCGGAGATCGACGGCAAGGGGTAAGTCCACGCAATATCATCAACCGAATGTCATGACCTAATACCTCTCATAGCATTTTTTGGGCAAACTCTGGTCTTGGCGTTGTCACCCTGGACGATTTCTGGTCCACCATCCACAACGGCGACGTTACCGTGATCCGTGATGATCTGGATAGAATCCAGGGCGACACGCTGAATCTCAAATCGGGCGAAAGTGTGCGCTCTGACTACATTCTCATGTGCACCGGATGGGGCGACCACTTCGCCATGTTCGACGACGGCACGAAACACGAAGTGGGCCTGCCGGTGCTGACAGCGAAAGGGGCCGTGGATCCAGCATGGGTGAAGTCCGACGCAGATGCCGAGAATTCCGTGAATCGCAAGCTACCCTTCTTGGCGAAGTCAGCGGTGGTGCGGAATCCCAAGAATCTCCTGCAGCCGCAGAGGAAGTGGAGATTGTATCGTCGCGTGGTGCCAATCAAGATGGCCGAGAAGGGAGATCGATCGCTCGCGATCCTTGGCCAGATCCACACCGTGCAGACACCGCTGGTTGCTGAGGTCCAATCCTTCTGGGCTATTCTGTATCTGTTGGGCAAGGTTGAACTGCCCGATCACGATACAATGGTCAAGGAAATCGCCGAGTGGAATATCTGGACGAAGAAGCGGTACCTGAGTCAGGGACAGAAGTTCCCCTACTCACTTTACGACTTTCTTCCGGTATGACAAATCGCCTCATATTTAAAATTCATTATCACTAGCTAACTTAACCCATAGTACGTTGACACCCTATGCAAAGACCTCGGTATCAACTCCCGGCGTAAACCAAACGTTCTGGCCGAAATCTTCTCGCCTTACCGACCAGAGGACTTTAACGGATTCATTGATGAGTACATGTTAAAGCGACTGAACGAGTCAGTCAGCAAGCCTAAGAAGGTCCAGTCTCACTTGATTACTCGGCTGTGGGGGGTGGGTTTGAGCCTTGTTGTTTCTCTCTTTGCGTTGAGTAAGGTGATCACTGCGTGATCAATCGGTTGTTTATCTGTTGATAAATGGGCTGTTTATGTGTTTTTTCTATCTATTAGAAGTATTTGGCGTGATGTTTTTATGCTTTGGTTAGGGAATTCTAGTTGGGCCAGCGAAGTCTATACATCTAGAGAGAATTTAGTTATGTTGCTGGCCACGATTTATTTTGACTTAGACGGATAAAGGAGAACATGTCAGACCAGCCATGAAATAATATCAATCTGTTTCCAGCACTGAACACACGCTCAACTTCTTGGCAGATCTGTACTCTCTCAGACGGCTCCTTCCTTGTCCAGTCCTCCGCACGGGCTCGGCCCGAGCGTTAAAAATGCCAAGAAGATTGCAGCATGTCAGATAGATGCAGGCGATCATTGGCTCGGGGTCTCGGACCGGCTATGGCTGGGGACTGTTTACTTTTATTCCGCATTCGGAAAACTGTACGAAATGCAGAGATCCAAAGAAGAGAAAATACTGTTATTCCTATGCTAAAGAGGATGATGGATCCTGGTAGTCTAATGGAACTTCTTGTATCCCTTTCCAGCCACAAAGGTGTCCATCCATTCGTGCTGCGTGCGATCTTGGCTCAAGTCCCAGTATCGTTCGGCGTGGGCGGGTCCGCTGATGGCACCGCTGGCGTAGTCGCCGTTGTCGAGGCGCTCATCTCCATAGTAGAATCTATTCCTGGCGTTAGTAAAACAGGGCAAAAAAAAAAAAAAAAAAAAAACAAAGAAAAGGAAGCTCGGTTCATACGTGTATCCCTTTCCTTTGAATGCAAGAACCGCATTCTCAATAACATGGCCCATCGCAATCTTGCCAACACCCAAGCTAACCAACCGAGGCTGGGGCATCAGGTTCAGCCCGTTCGCCGTGTAGATGAAGGACTTCGGAACATCATCGGGGATACTTGCAAATCCCTTGACAGCCTCCTGGGCAGTCAGGTACGCAGATGTAAAGTTAACCGCGAGATCATGCTCCAACTCGTCTTGGTTGAGAGTCAAAGGGTTTCCTGGGGCAGCAGGAAAAACGTGATAAGCTGAGACGTTAAGTTAGCAAAACCCCATTGGAATATTCCAAACTCCAAAAGTGGGGGCCTTATCGATGCACCATTGTGAATGACAACGTTGGGCGGATTCCCGAACTTGGCCTTCACCTCCTCGAAGGCCTTGTGCACGGTTCCCGGCGCCGTCAAATCAGCTCGGATATGCGTGTAGGATGAATCAAAAGATGCGGAGAATCCACGGCTCACAAGCGCAATCTTGTATCCTTGAGATGCGAATAGCGCTGCCGTGGAGGTGGCGACGTTGGGTCCAGCGCCCAGGATGAGGAGGATTGGGCTAAAGGTCATGTTGTGGGGAGGGAATTTGGATTGAAATGAGAGTAAAGGATCTATGGATTGGTGAGCTAGATAGGGAGTGAATCGGAGGTATAATATATAGATTCTTTGCAACTGTGACTACAAGAGCCAAGAGCAGTGGTAGCTCCTCCTCGGAGGGGTACAGGACAGGGGGCGGCGAATTTCGCCGACGGTGGTAATCATGTCATCAACATAATTTGGTCATCTATCGGTATTATTGGTTAATCATGGAAGCAGAATAAGACTACCAGTTGGGAAATGGGCATGATTAAGCGTACTTCCTGTTGCGGTTTGTCAACTATTCGGAAATGTCTGGACGCAGCGTATACAATTTCAAGTAAATAAAGAGATTCGGGGAGGTATTTTAGAACTATCACGTAGATTCAGAAGATTATCACTTGTTTAATAGCAGGGTCATTTACGACTATACTAGTAGCGCTTCATTTTCTAGGTCTAGGTTCATGACATGAGGTCAAACTAGACAACATCTACGTCTTCTCTCTGGTCTCTGAAAACATCACCGCCAAAAAATGGCCGTAATCGAGCGAGTTTAATCAAACCCTGTAGCCGGAACCACCTTCGAAAGACGGGACTCGACCGTGATAATGCGGGTCTTCTCGTCGACCAACATGCGGCCGTTGCCAATTAACGTAAAGTTCTGCAATTCTTGGAGTTCAGGGTCACCGCTGTGGAAGGTATGAGCACCCGCTATTATCAGAAATTTGTGATTAGCGTGATAGGACAGAAAGAAGCAGAATGGATGGTCATGACGTACTGCTGAACCCGAATGGTACACTGACCGAGTCAGGCTGCTGATGGAAGATCTTGAGGACGGCTTCGTTGGTATCAATAATGCCAGTGTAGCCAAAGCTGATCTCCTTTCCGTCTTCAGTCCTACGGTAGACATTAGCTCGGAGGAAGTCTTCTTCGATAGAACGATAGTAATACCGGGCGATCGCCTTCATGTTGATTCGGGCATGTTTCTGGTCTGGGTCGAACTCGAGCCAGTCGGCGCCAAAGACAACATTGGCTTTGAACTTAGGCTCAAATCCTTCCACAGTCTCCACTGTGCCAGTTGGTGTTTCCTGCCATCCAAGTACTCCATGTCAGTTGCTTGAAATGCGTATCTTCTCGGACATCGATGTTAGTGCTTACAAAGTGGACGAGACTAGCACCGCTCTGACGGGGTCCTGGACGGGACATTAGATATAAATTGTATGTTTTCAGAAAGTCTAAAAAGATAAGAAGACGTACCAATGGGGTGGCCAGCACCCACATTGACCTTCCACACAATGGCAGGCTGAAGGGATGGGAAGTTGATGATAGGAGGACTCATTCTGGTGGGTCCGTACAATATGTTTGAAATAAAAAAGATAAAACTTCTTCTACTCCATACTACACGCTAACCTTTATAACAAGCGCTTGGAGAACTAAATAACGTATTGCGGTTCAGCCATCGGACACATTTGTATGAGTCGGACCGGAAGCCGAGCGTGAGACGGAGAGTAGGCCTTCACCCGGAGTCGTTCGCCGACTACTGCCTTGCTGATTATCAATACCAACCCATGTCAGTTGCCAAGCGCGATATGTGGGGATTGTACTTGCTTAATGCGCATTCATATGGTCCGTCGTTGCCGCTTTTTGAACAGGATACGGAGTCCTTAAGCTAAAAAGCATCTCATTTGTCCTGCTACCTCTTCAATCCCTTCTTCGCTTGACATAACAAGCTCACAAGAGAGCTTGCAAGATGGGATCAGCTGAGAGACCGTTCCGTGTCATCATCGTTGGAGGTGGCGTGGGAGGCCTTACTGCCGCCCACACCCTCCATCGAGCCGGCATTGACTACGTGGTCTTGGAGAAAGGCCTCGTTGCTCCACCCATGGGTGCGAGTATCGGTATATATCCCCATGGCTCTCGGATACTCGAACAGATAGGGTGTCTGGCAGACGTGGAAGCCGAGTGCGTCAAGCTGGGTAAGAGCCAGAACCTACTGCCGGACGGGCGAACCATCTTCAGCAGTGACTTCTTCAAGTACTCCAGGGAATAGTAAAGTCGCATTGCTCTCATTATCTGTGTGACCATTGGCTAATATATGGGTAGCCATGGGTACCCCATTCCTGTCCTTGAGCGACGCCGGTTCCTGGAAATCCTCTACGAGAACGCCCCAGACAAGTCCAAGATTCGATCGGGAACCGCAGTGGTGGATGTCATTGATCACGAAAATGGTGTCAAGGCTATCCTAGCCGATGGTAGCGTGGAAGAAGGAGACCTGGTCCTGGGAGTTGACGGTGTTCACAGCAACATCCGCAATCTGATGTGGCGGAATGCCAACGCTGCCGTCCCTGGATTGATCACGACCGCAGAAAAGAAGTGTAAGCCTTTCACCCTTGTATGTTCACGACAAAGAAGACAGCATGCTGACAGACATTCACATAGCCTTGATCTGCGACTGGACAGCTCTTGCAGGTTTCAGCCCTACAGTTCCAGGAATGAGCAACTGTAACATGACTTGTACTCACTATCCCGGCAAATCGTTCCTGGTGATCGGTCAGAAGAAGTACACCTTCTGGTTTGTCTTCTTCAAGAACGAGGAGACCCGCTACTGGCCTAGTTCTCCTCGATGGACTGCGCAGGACGCCGAGAAGCGAGCTGCGGAATGTGCCGACTGCCCTATCTCCGACACGCAGGTATTTGGCGAGTTATGGCGATCTCGCGTTCGAGGCGACCTGGTCAACGTAGAGGAGGGACTGTTCAAGCACATGTATTTTGGTCGGATTGTTCTTGCTGGAGATGCCGTTCACAAGGTAATTCCACTTCCGTTTTCCTTACGCCTAGATCATGCTAAGTAGTATGTCAAGATGACGCCTAACATCGGACTCGGCGGCAACGCAAGCATGGAGAGCGTCGTCGTTCTCTCTAACCTCCTGCATCGCGCCGTTCAGGCTCACCCGAGCGGCAAGCCCGATAAGAAGATGCTCGAGACAATCTTGGAAGAATATCAAACCCTGCGGTACGATCGCATGCAGAAGATCATCCACTTCTCCGGCGAGGCAACCAGACTCCAGGCCTGGGATAGCCTCTACTACAAGACGCTCTCCCGGGTCATTCCATACTTGCCAGACACGACCTCTGCCAAGAGAACCGGAGAGTTGATCAAAGCCGCAGCCAAGCTGGACTACATTCCAACTTCTCCTGCCCGGAAGGGAACCGTGGCGTGGGAGGATGAAGGGCAACGGGCTTTAGGGGCTCATCAGGCTGCAGTCAGCAATGTGAGACGGTTGATTCAAATCCCGGTCGTGTTGCTCTCTTTTGGACTTTCGTTCTTCTATCTGTCTGGGATCAAATTGTGAGACTTTGGTCCCGTTGTTCTTCGTTTGGTAGGTTTGGAGGATATCGTGTGATTCTTGTCGGTAAATGGATTAGATTGGATAGAATCAGACAGAAATTTGTTACGGGATCTGTTTGATCAGGCAATACATTTATTTAGCCTATAGTTAAACAGTGGGAAAGAGAAAGATTAAAAAGACAAAGCACAAAAGTCCTACGCGACCACCACCGAGAACATGTGGAAGATATTTTCACGATCCTTCTCTCTTGAATCTTTTCATTCCATTTCTTCTATAATCGTCCCTTTCTCTACGTTTTTATTGGGATAGCGCGGAGATCACGAACAGATGTTAACCGGGAACAATATATATAAATTTTCCGCATAAGGCCAGCATCTTGAGGTTCATGACAAGACAATGGAACCATCCCAAGGGAGAAATATTCCCAGACCGTCACCGCATACCCTCCATGGACGAGATGTTTTTCTACATGATAAAAAATTAAGTGCTTCATGTAATGGTGATGATGAGAATATAGGGCTTGGTAGACAGCAGCCCTTAAAATGTTTTAGGGCGAGACCACAGGTTCCACAACGGAAATAAGAAGAAAAAAAAAAAAAAAAAACCAAAAGAAAAAAAATCAAATGCCGGACGCCCAGGTACTTTAGTGATTGGTTTAAGGGGTTAGCTTCACTGGAAACATAAGCTTACTGTGCGTTAGGCCTCGCAGACGCCAACGCTAGGAATGTGACATTCTTCTATCATTGGCAGAACGAATCTTGGCCGACGTTGAAACGCGGAATCGCGGAATAAGATTAGCAATCACCACAGGCAACATAAATCTGCGATAGATATTTAGCATCTGTGCTGTAAAATCGACCATGAAATCGACATTGGCATCTGCAGCCACAAAATGGCCGAAATCAAATTCTTCTTTGCCTCAGGCGCCTGCTCACTTTGTCCCCACATTCTCCTACATGAAATCGAAGCCGACTTCAAGCCCTTCCAGGTCACCAACAAAGGCCCGGAGGTCAGATTCTCTGAAGACTTCCACCGAATCAATCCCAAAATGCGCGTTCCGGTGATTGCAGTCGACGAGCAAGTCATCACCGAGCTTCCCGCCGTGGCCACGATCATATCCAGTCTGGCGCCCGAGAGAGGGTTAATGGGGAAGAATACTCTTGACACTGTTCGAGTTTACGAGTGGATGAATTATCTGTCCGGGACTTTGCATGCCGGAGGATTTGGCCACTTGTTTCGACCTGACCGCTGGACTACTGCGACCGATCCTTCAAGCTTGGACGGAGTGAAACTCAAGGCTCGGGAAAGGGTGATTGAGTGCTTTCAATATATCGAGGAGAGATTAGACGGTGTACATGCAGTAGGGGGGTATTTCACGGCCGTGGATCCATTCCTCTACGTTTTCTATCGATGGAGGACGATGCTCGGCGAGGATATGTCGGTTTATACAAAGTACGCCGCGCTGGTAAGGAATTTGGAGACGCGCCCTGCGGTACGAAGGACTCTGCAGAAGGAGAATCTGTCACTCATATATTGAAAAATCAATGGAGAAATTTGTGGGAAAGATGGCGAGCTTTTGTATATATATTTGATTTTTAAAATTGGCATTTTATGGTGTCATAAGGTTTGAGCCATGATGTGATTTGAGAGGCGAGTTATATTCACAAAGCGAAAATGCAGTAAGATCTAAGAAGCTAGAGGGTGTTACTCTGGTCAAGGATTCCTAGGCTTCTGGCCATAAACATGGAACCAGTTCGCATACGTATGAATTCTCCTATCCAAAAGCTCCGATCGGGCCCCATTCAGCAGCACACGCACCTCCTCGACAGGCCAATGCAGCACCCGCGTTAACAACGCCAAGCTATAAGCGTCCAGCGACTCCAGCATGTTGACCTGGTAGTACCTACCGAGTTCTTTCAACTTCGGGTCCTTGGGCCAGGGTGACATGGGCATCTAGGAGTGCAGCTGGTTAGAGACCAACCGGAGATGACATCGCAAGAGATGTTTTCTCACCTTGTAGACGTCCTCTCTGATGTTGACAAAACCTGCATTTGAGAGGCGTTGAATATGCTCTGTAGCCGTCCCCATTAACCTGCCCATGCGGGCACTAGCCTCCTTAACAAGCCGCGTACACTCTTTGAGGCTCTTTGCTTGCTGGATAGTATCGTCGTCACCACACACGATCAGGTCAACCTCGGCAAACTCAAACCATCCGCCTGGGTTGAGCTGATCGTATGCCTGGATAACGAGCCGGTCGTAATTCGAGACAGACCCCTGAAGGTCGCGCGCGTGTATAAAGTCGAACTGAGTATCATGACTCCAGTCGGCTTCAAAATCGTCGACCTCGAAGTGTAGGTTTGGGGGCACCCTGTGGATCAATGTTAAGTCAAGAATGTAGGCTGGGATTGTTGCCGTAGAGCGTACCAGGGGGATTGAATTGGACTGAGATCATTGCCTATGATCTATTAGGTGAATGACTTGACCCAATCCATGGGAGTGGGCACTCGAACCTACGACCCGAGCATGCGGGAACTTACTGCAATGAGTAAGTTTGCTGTTGATAGATATTGGACAAAGGAACCTACTCTGCCATTTCAATTGCCCAGACCCCGGTGCCCGTTCCCAGGTCTAATATCGTGGAGACATTTTGGCGAATAGGCGACCGGTAGAGGTGTCCGCCGAGTTTCAATCGGTGAATGTGGTGATGCTGGGCGACGGTTAGATAATATCTTGAGGTTCGCTAGGATCGTGGTACAAACAAGCTCGAGTCGCGATTGCTCTTGCTCATCGTTGGGCTGTTCATATTAGCCCTTCTTATCATAGAGTAAATGATTTGTTCTATTACCATTGTGTAAATGCCCTCTTTAAATGCATGATATCGGCGACCGTTCTGTCAAAGGTTGGCAAGATGTGCGGATAGCCTTTATCCGAGAGAAGATACTGACTTCATATCTAGATCTGTTAGACAGCGAGAGAGAGAAGCAGGGATTTCTAACATACTGATAATTCCTAATGCTGGAGGCAATCGATGGGGTTGAGCTGAGCCCAGAGCTGTTTCACACGCCGATTAGGTCCTATCCGACGCATCCGACTGAAATAACACACCTGTTGACGAATGAACTCCCTCCGTCGTTGTAGAGAAGGTCGTCGTCCTTGAGATTGTCATGACCAAGATGTAGTGGGAACAGTCAGGTAAACCGAACTCACCTCGACTTCCACACCACTGTCCGATCCCTCGTCGAGGCCAATTTGGAGTGGCATTATCGCAGTGAGTCAAAAGTACGAAATGAAAGGGGGGAAACGCTCGAGCATACAAAGAAAAACATCGTGCGTGGCCAAAAGGGCAATGCTGGTTGCTGAGCGCCACTTTTTGAGAGCCCAAAACCCTGCACAGACAAACGTAAAACGGACAAGGATCAGGCCAGCAGCTGCAAGACGCTAGAAGAAGACCGTGGAGAACAGAAGGATGAGTGGAGTGGCGGTGATTGACACTGAACAACTCATTCGTGCAACGGTCGTGTTAGTCGTGCATTAGCGAGAATTGGCGCTGAAATCCCCTCTTGTCTCCCGCAGGGGATCCGTTTCCCGCCTGGTGCGAGATTTCTAATTGATGCAGCGACAATGGTTTGCGAAAATACGGGGTATCTTGTTTTAGATTGACATTGCGGTGGAGTTGTCCATCTGCCGACACTCGTGGAGATCAAAACGCCTGAGCCGATAAACCCTATGCGATTCTAATCCCATTCGCCCATAAGACAGGATAATGGATTATGTTGCTATCTGTGCGCCGCTTAGCAGGTGTGTTGATCTGTCAACGGGGGAGCTGGAAAAGAGTGACAAGTATTATTAAAAAGGATATAATGAAGCTAGGTAAGAAGCAAAGGCCGGCTACATAAGCAAAATCTAAACATCGAAACCAATAAAATCCCTGGCTTCACAGAACATCGCTTTAAATGCCCCAAACGAGCGCATTCAGCCAGTCATTATGAGACTTTCCATGAACATTCAACGCATTTGCAGCCTGGAAAGGCCCGAAAGGATCGCCCTCCAGCGTATCGATCTGGAATCCACGATCCTGCTCGCAGCATACACAAGCTGAAGTACAATGCCCTGTTCCTTTGACGGTGACTCCAAATCTCTGAGTCTGGCAGCATCCACATCCTCGAGCGCAGCATCCACCTCTCCCAGCACATTGCGCCCGTAGCCATTCAGAGTTGTCCCATTGTGTGTTGCGTCGCAGAGACAGGATTGCCCTCTTCACCGGGCTATTCGGAAATCTGTCCAAATCATCCTGGAGGGCTCGCTGCATTGTCGAAGCGCACTTATTGTAGGCCGCGATCTTATCTTCCAAGGGTACCAACTCACTGTCGGAGGACCATTCGCTTCTGAAGCTGACGGTTTCGTCGGGTGGATATAACTGCTTCTTGTATTTCCCTAGCCGTTGGACCATCAAATCGAGATCGAGGTGCGTTTGAATCCACATTTTTAATTTCTCGCTGTGCCTGGGCCCGAGGGAAAGATGGTGACTCATTTTTCGACGGATTCGCTGGGCGAACTTCCATAAACCGACGCACTCGAGGACGGTCTCCAACACCCTGGAGTGGGCGTCGACAATCCTTACTATCTGGGATGCACCTTCCATTGTCACCAGCGAAAGAGTGAGAATCGTACACGTACAAAGGATGGTCAGGGATAGAGTAAGAGTCAGAAAGATCGGGACTCGTTTCAATGGGGTTGAGCAGGATGAAGTTCGGTAGGTAGTATGTCATCTGGTGTCATCAGAAAGTCAGTATGAGGGTTTTATGCTCTTAAGATAACGTAACAAACCCTTAATAAACCAGTGACTCAAGTATCGCTATAATGATCAGTTGGATATTCCCATTTTGTTTGTTTGGGCCTTGATTTGAGAGTTGATACTCTGCCTCAGGATAGACAGTTAGTTTTGATGGACGAGTGGCCCACGAGAGGCTATAATTCGCCTACAATGAATCCCGATCGCGATATTAGATTAAAATCTATTAATGGGTGGCCGAGTTCGCCACCCATGCTATGAGTTCTTATTAACACGAAGAAATGAAAATCATAGGTGGTTGTATTGACAAGAGAGTGTACCGGAATCTCTCATTCTAAGTGTTTAATGACCTACAAGGAGAAGAAAACAGAAACAAATGGAATTCTGTCTGCAATCCAAACGGAAAGAACCATGAAATTCATGTGTGAACTTTCCCTGGTAACTCGACATACCACGACAGATCATTCTTCTCATCCATCTCCCAAGCTGTGAACCCATTTCCCATGAATCGGAAGGGATTCGGACTGTGATACTCAATCTCGAAGTCCTCTGCTCGAATGTCCTGGAGCATGCGATTAAACAACACTGCACTTCCCCCGAACAGTGCCGTAACTCGCCCATCGACTCGATTGCGTTTATACCAGCTCTTACAGCCGCCCGTCCAGACCAGCGTCTTGTGAATCTCATCGCCGTACCGCACAAATGCTTCTTCCCGAGAACTTTTCGGTGCGACATACTTGATGTCTTCTGAAGCGATCTTCTTTATCCATTTGACAAAATAGTCACCCGTCCAGTTCAGCGACTCAATTAGCGAGCCATGCCCACCCAGGCAGTTGGGGCCCATCATCATGAAGTAGTTGGGGAATCCGGCCGTCGCCACGGAGAGGTAGGACTCCGGTTCCTCATCCCATTTATCTGAGAGCTTTACTGAGTTTTGACCGACAATGGGATACCGCGGGCAATGAGAGACGTCAAATCCCGTGGCGCAAATGACTGTCCGGTCAGCATGGTAACCTGACTTGTGATGCAGAAACGCAAGAGAGAGCTCACCGACGTCGCATTCAAATGTCTTTCCATCGACAGTGTGAACTGCATTTTCTGAGATATGAGTGACCTTGCTATCTGACAGATGGCAGTTTGGTCTCGAGAACGCTTCCAAGTACCCTGGACCTGGGGTGATGCGCCGACAGCCTACTTCCCACTTGGGGATCAACTTGTCGCATAGCTCGGGAACATGGTTCAACTTCTCTGCCATTTGCTTGGCTCCGAAGCGCATTGCTGCTTGGTTGTTCTCTCCTTTGATAAACTGGTCTTTCTTAGTCCAATTTATTCAGGTTTGCTCAATAGAGACGACATACCAAGCGGAAATTTTTGTTAGTTCGCGCAATTATTCCCTTTCGGTACTTCCGATGTTCTTCTGGATCACGAAAGACCTCCTTTTGTTCTTCAGTATATTCGGGATTGGGACTTTCATCGTCATTTCCATGGTGCTTAGATGGCGGCACTCGATAATAGACCCAGGCTGGACTGCGCATAAAATTGACGACTTCTGTGCCTGGAAGTTTGGCCATTGCAGGAGTAATCTGGATCCCCGAGGAGCCATTTCCAATGACAGCGATGCGCTTGTTTGCGTAGTCGTAGTCGTGATCCCAATGAGCAGAATGTGAGATCTTGCCCTTGAAATCGTTCAAGCCGGGGATGTCCGGCCAAGAAGGGTGACTGACAAATTAGCTACCGGACGGTAAACTGGGGAGTGAAAGATCATACACGAGTACGCCTTGAGCAGAGATTAGGATGTCGCAATACACATCTCGCTCTACGCCTTGATGCTCCACGGCCAGCTTCCATCGGGCATCATCCTCCTGCCACCATGCCCCCACAACTTTGGTATTGAGTTGGATATCGCGGTCGAGATTCCATTTCTCCACTATCCGCTTGATATAATCCTGGATCTCGACGCCACTGGCATAGAACCTGCTCCATTCCGGATTAGGGTCAAACGGGAAAGCGTAGATGTGCGCAGGTACGTCGCACTGGACGCCGGGGTAGGTATTGATCAGCCACGTTCCGCCGACATCATTTCGCGCCTCGAAGATAGTATGCTCGACATATTCCTGTAGCTCTGGGAAGCGGTGCTGTATCTTATGGGCCATCAGAATACCGGAGAACCCGGCCCCAATAGTCACGACGTGGAGTTTGCGGGGTGTGTAAGCATAGTCGGCGCTCATCGGGATGGTGAAGGGATTCTCCTGAGAAGAGCTGTTTGTATGACAGTGACCATTTAGCTTCCCTGTATCATTCGTTGAGTCCGTCTTACGGCCCCCATTTGTCTCGTGGGAATGTGTGATTCCATTGGTATGAGGGCCATTAAACACTTCTCCGTCTGTGGGGAGAACAGTAGTAGCGACAGTCATCGTGATTGATTTTTCCTCGTTGTTTGGACCCAAAGCCTACAGAAGGAGGTTTTGCTTTAATGAACACCTTCTCAGGGGGCAAAGATATGTCCAGCGATGGTGTGACACTGCTTTGTCCAACACGGGGATACAGAGAGCCGAGCTCCAAGGCTCTCGGCATTAAACACAGGCTACACAGAGCCGAAAAATAGCGAGGATTTGATTTTAGCTTCCAATGCTCCATATGATTAATCCAAACATCAAGGGTCTTCTTCTCGGCTCTCGGCCTACTCGATTGGGAAACTGCTGATCCCAAAGCTGGTATGCCGAACACTGCCGATAGCTTCACGATACGCCGCGTTCTACAGACTGGTATTGAGAAATACTGGTTGAAATATGTAGCCGTTATTCTATAATATCCAGATTTACGCTATGGCATCATTTGGCCAAGAGACATGTGTCTAGGATACGATTACAATGGCATCGTATCATAAACATTGTTGGAGTCAACTAAACATAATACGCTCGAATATTGCAGTGGAAACTTCATTCTTGAACTAGGTTACCGTGAACTATGACAAAACCAGGTCTCGATATTCCCTCGCAGCGACAGCATCGGCTCTCTTCCTATAACCGGGTGCAGGTCCATTGTACCGAGCGACGATTCGCTTCTGCTTATGCGCCAGATTCTTATTAACACCACTCATCCAAGAGTCCACTTCATTTGCCAATAGCCCCTCGGCACAATCATGAACATGCTCTGTCCACGCGACGACGTCTTCATGCGTACATTCGGCACATGTAATCCCACGATCCCGCGCATAGCGAATGAAGTTTGCCACCCAGTTGGAAGAATACTCAATGCTGCGCGGGAAGTTCCCAAACATTTGATGTGGACCCATCACTGTCATCATGTTGGGGAAGTGTTCAGCGAACATGCCCAAGAACGTTCGGGGTCCGTCGCGCCATTGATCTGCCAGTTGGATTTTGTTGCGCCCTTGGATATCCATGGCTGTGAATGACCCAGTGACGGCGTCAAAGCCGGTCGCGTAGATGATCATGTCGAATGTGAAGTTTTCATCCCGAGTTTCGATACCCTCAGGTGTGATCCGTTGGATAGGATTGGCTTTCGAGTCAACAAGCCGGACATTCGACTGGTTGTAGACTTCAAAATAGCCACTTTCAAGAGGCAGTCGCTTTGTACCGAAGCCGTGGCACTTGGGAATCAACATTTCGGCGGTCTTAGGGTCATGGACCCGTTGGCGAATCTTGTTAGCGATGAACTCGCTGAAAAGAGCATTAGCCCGGCGATCAGTGGGGATATCATGAAAATTGCCCAGCCATTTTTCGAAGCCTCGAGTCTCGTAAAGTGCATTCCACAGTGCCTCTCGTGCTTCGGGGTCAACATCAAAGGTGCGTCGTTTATCGCTGATATGTATGAATCCAGAATAGGATTCCCGACATCGTTGGAAAATCTCCGGATATCTCGTACGAATTTTTGTCATTTCCTCGAGGGAAATTTCCCCATTATTCAACGGTACACTCCAGTTCGGCGTCCGCTGGAACACGGTGAGATGGCCGGCCGTTTTGGCTATCTCTTGAATTGTTTGGATTCCGGTCGCGCCTGTTCCGATCACAGCAACGCGTTTATCCCGGAAGTCGACCGGTTGATGAGGCCATCGGGCTGTGTGATAAGCAGGACCCCTGAAATCGTGCACGCCGGGAATATTCGGCCAGGTATAGTTGTTGAGAATGCCCATGGCTGTCACCAAGAATCGGCTGGTGTATTGTCTGCCCTCCTCGTCGGTGAGTAGCCATGACCGGTTGTCTTCTTGAAAATGTGCTGCCTTAACTCGCGTATTGAATTGCATGTCTCTGCGAAGATCGAACCTATCGCAAATAAACTCGCAGTATCGCAGGGTCTCTGGCTGGGCAGCAAAATGCTCGGACCAGTTCCATTCATCAAGAATCTCCTGGGAAAACGAGAAGCCGTAAGAATAGCTCTCGGAGTCGAATCGAGCCCCAGGATATCGATTCCAGTACCAGGTCCCTCCGACCCCTCCGCCAGCTTCGAGCACCCTAGCTCGCAAACCTAGCTGGCGCATCTGGTAGATAGAGTAAATTCCGGAAAGGCCTGCCCCGATGATGAGGACATCGTAGTCAAGGTCTTTGTTCAGTTGTTCGAACAATTGAGGCTCTATGCTGCCCATTTTGGTGATGTCTTTCGTTCACTATGTGGAGTCTGTGTAAGTTTAGAGCTACAACCGACCCATGTAGTCTTCTTATCTAGTCGGACTGTTGATCCTCGGCCCTCGTACAGGACTAAGCCCTGGATGGTTAACCGGGTTGTAGCCGGCAATTCTAGCGTCGTTTCCCCGCAATCCGGGGAAGTTGCATGGCGGAGTATTCTGCGATATGGACTGTGGCATCAATAGTCAGAGGAAAATGGGAACATGTTTCGGGGAAGTAAATCAACGATCGTAGGAAGAAGAACATGGGAATTCTTCGGAGAGTATGCGGACAAAAAGCATCATGGGTAGCATACAGTTTTAGAAACTTTCGGCACAATTACATTCAGCCCGCGCATACACCAACAGAAGCTTCTACGCCACGTCAAGACTATTCTTTTAATAGTTGCCCTTTCATCTCGTGTAGGACGTTAGTGGCCAAGACTGGCATATTCGGCAATGTTTTAAGGCAGTCGAGAGGCCCATCCGGTTTGTCTTCCCTGTCTGCCCCAAGACTCCGTTGTCTTTGCAAGATGTCTCACTTTCAACCTTCACAGGACTCTGTGGCCGAGAATGGAAAGGTAGGTAATATTGATTCTACTGCGAAAATCGACGCTGTGGATACAGTTCATCACGATGAGGCTCTCAAAGTGCTAGAAAATTACACGGGTGATGCGACCTGGACAGCCGCTGAAGAGAGCAAACTAGTGCGGAGGATTGACAGAAAGCTACTTCCGCTTCTTTGCCTGACATACGGGCTCCAGTACTATGACAAGGCGATGCTTTCTCAAGCAGTAAGACTATCGGCCCTCACTGTCTAAGACAAAAAACAGGTTCCTGACAAGATGTATAGGCGTTGTTCGGGCTTCGCGACGACCTTGACATGATGGAAGGCAGACGTTACTCCTTCTCGGCATCTATCTTCTATCTGGGGTTCATCGCGGGAGCATACCCCGCGATGACTCTTGCACAGCTGTTCCCCATTGAGCGTGTTGCGTCTCTGATCACAACTCTCTGGGGCATCTGCCTGATACTCACTCCTGTTTGCTCCAACTACCAAGGATTGTACGCACAGCGATTCTTTCTCGGAATGCTGGAGGCAGGTATCAGTCCTATGTTTATGCTCATCGTGGTATGTATCCCTAAGTTACCTCTAGGCTTCTCGACTAATGTCCAACAGGGCAGTTGGTACAAGAAGGACGAACAGGCCCTCCGCATGGGGTAAGTTCATCCTAATTGCACGACTATAGCAATTACTCTAACATCTCAGCGTCTGGTACTGCTGGACTGGATACGTCTCCATTTTCTCCCCCCTGGTGAACTACGGACTAGGCCACATCCGAGGGACTCTCTCACCCTGGAAATACATGTATCTATTTTCCGGTGCAATCACCATCCTCTGGGGCATCGCTGTTCTGTTCCTCCTCCCTCCAGACCCCATTCGAGCGAAAGGATTTGATGACCGCCAACGATTTATTTCAGTGGCACGTCTTCGGGTCAACAACTCTGGCGTACGCAATACACACTACAAGAAAGGCCAAGTAGCGGAGTTACTCATGGACGTTAAGTTCTGGCTCATGTTCTTCATCGCCTTTTTGAGCATGATAGCAAATGGACCCATATCGGCATTCACGCCCATCATAATCAACTCGATGGGGTTCAACACTTTGAATTCGTTGTTGCTGATGATGCCGGCTGGCTTCTACGCTGGTACGTTGCAGCTTTTTGCTCCCTACTTGGCATATCGATATGCTCGTGTTGGTATTCGGTCGTGGCTGGTATCTGTATGCCAGGTTGTAACTACGCTGGCTGCTTTGTTATTGTTGTTTTTGCCATTCTCAGCGACCGGCGGACTGTTGTTCGCATGCTACATCCTTCCCTCGGTCGGAGGTGGATACTCGGTCCTCATGGGACTGCAAATCGCTAACATAGCGGGATATACTAAGCGTGTGATGGCGTCAGCTGGGTTGTATATCGGGTACTGTCTTGGTGAGTTTGTCAGACATAGTGAGATAGCAGCTTGCCTGACTGTGATAGGGAACTTCGTCGGACCTCTTGTGTTTGAAGAGAAAGACGCCCCTCGCTATGCCCCTGGGTTCATTGTGGTCATTGCGACCTCGATCATCGCGGGTCTTTTGGTGCTTGTTTATCGATACCTCTGTGTTTGGCATAATCGACGGCGCGACAAACAAGGAGCTGAAGGGTTCGGCAACGCCTATCAGGATGATCTGACAGACATGACGGTGAGCCATCTCCAAAGGTGCTTGATAATCCTGCTGCTAATTGCGACCAGAATCCGGGGTTTCGTTACATTGTCTAATGCAAGGGGTTGTTTGCTTGACGGGATTGCATTGGGTGTACCTTAACTATCTCGTTTGGGACTTTTCATTTGTATGACTGGAACTGGAGCCAGACGAATCTAGCTGCGTTGGACAATTCTTTACTCTTTAGTATTCTCTTATATAGCAATGCCACAATTTACTTGATCGGGAATACAGCCAGCGGCGAGGGAAACGGTTGCTTAAAGAATCTTTCGAAAGCCCAAACATTCCAGATAATGGGTCTGGGTATTTTAAATCGCTCCTTTTTCCCGCCAATAGTCTTCCAAAACCGCTAGAAACGCCCACTTCAAATCTGTCCCCCATCCCTGCTCTTTCCATCCGTTCAAGCACGCCGGGAAATGCGGCACTCCATCTCTAACTTGCGCGTCGTGAGCAATGATAACAAAGATATCCTCACTAGCATCTGCCTCCTGTAATTTACCAATCGTTCGTTTCGCTAACGGAATATCATGTCCGAACGTTGGATCATACAGCGACTGAGTGGGATCTCTGCCGCGAGACCGCTGCAGTTCTTCCCATGCATCTCCCGGACAAAAGCCAACGGTATCACCTCCCAGCACTGGATGTGGCACGATGGATTCCGGTATGGGAAGATGTACCGATGGGCGAAATATCCCTGCGAAGTGACACACATCGCCACCGAGCAAGATGAACGTATCTGGACTTGTAGTTGTGCGCGCAAGGCCGCATAAGTGACCAACTGCGTGACCAGGGCTATCGAGGAGGTAGAATGAGCCGTCTTCAAAGTAGTCGAGGGCCCTGAATTGGCCGATTGTAATTGATCCGGGTCCGTTGAACGTAATTTCACGGAGATTGCGACCACTGGACAGATCGAAAGATTTGATTGTTGGGTTAAAGCAGACCAGTTACTTACCTGTAATCACTTTCAAGAATCGGGGAGTCTGGATTTGCAGGAGCACCTGGCAACAGAGCTTCCTTGAACCCAGGTCCCACGATCAAATCTGTCGAGGGTGGGAAAGTGGATGGATCGCCGATGTGATCCCAGTGCCAGTGGCTTGATTTTACATCAGCTATGCCTATATCAATACCATAGGGGGCGATCTTCACTATACCTCCATATCACAGCTTCAATATCTTCGCCACGCACGCCATGTTCCTCTAGAATCTCTGCAACATTCTTCTCCACGTCGATGCGGTACTTCGTTGTAGGAATATATTCTGCGATCTTAGGCGCGTAATTCAAATAATCCTTTCGAATCCCCAAATCCCAAACCAACTTCCGCCCGGAAGGATGCTCTAACAAAAAGCATAACGAAGGGAACGAAGTGAATGTCTCCAACACCGAGACCGGCGGTGCCATAAATCGGTTCAAAATAGCCGGACCCGCATTAACCGGGTTGATGAGCTTAACTGTGATGGGCGTGTCGCCTGAAGTAATAGGGAAGAGTACGCTCTCTGTCATGATGCGTGCTTGTGGTGAGCCCAGAAGGGTCGGAGGTCGATAGTCTAGAACGCGTGGGGCGTCACTATCACGACTTTCTTATCTTATGGTCATGGCCATAGCGACTGCGGCATTTTAACCGAGTGCCGGTATTGCCGACCAATTGGCTATTGAGCGGTTGCTTGGACTAAGGGGGTCTTGCAGCTATGGCGCTATTTCATAGACCGAATTACATATCATATCCATCTACTCTCACGGAGGTTGTCCGAGACTGAATCCTGCCGGTAATGACAAGTCTACGAACAGATCAAAAGAGAAATAAATCTTTCTTCAGAACTCCATACCATTATTTGCCACTAACAAATCACCCCCCGAAAGAGGTCATATCCAAAAGCCCGTCAAAATGTCGAAACAGATCATTCACCTCGAACGTGCTGAGTTCCAAGCCCGCCTGGTCTAGGGGCAGCTCCATCTGCCGATTGTTCAGCAGGATCTGCGCCAGGCCACTCGTCCGAGTAGTCACAAAGGGAAAATATTTTGTCCACTCAATTCCATGAATCAAACTGATGTCTTCTAAGTCGAATGCCTCGTCCGCGGACGGCGATTCGGCCGCCGTACTACGTAGTCGCTCAAATCCTTGCAGGAATATATCAGCGGTCGGCCACATAATCCTGAGCTGCTGAAGTGCAAGCAGCACAACCCGGATGTCTTCCTCTGCACATTTTGCTAGATGGGGTATGCGTTGTGCGTGCAGAAGAGCTAGCATCGCCATCCCGCAGTACCAGCACGAAATGCCCATTAGGTATCGAATGCGACCGCGAGCCAGAAAGTCTTTCAAGATCCGAGCTATACAAGACGCTGCGAGTATGGCTGCCGGGTAGGCTCGGGGAAGAGGTTTGGTTGACTGGCTCAGGTGGAGCACGATGATGGTCGCAAGATACGGCAGGTGGAGCTGGTGCACGTCGCGATTGAAGGATACAGTGAGGTCGGCTTCGATGGGCAACGACAGATGATGTGGAAGAGAATGGGCCCATGAGATCAACTCCTGTGCATGACGGACGGGAAAATGCAGAATCATGTTGTTGCTCGTGCGCATTAGATGTTTGGCGACATTCCCGACGATTCCACAAAGCTTCACCCACTGAATGAATATTTCAGCCCTGATGTCCTGGACGGGGAAATCCTGCAAGGTGGGTTCGGCGACGTTGCAATCTTCTATATCGATCACGCATGGGCGGCATTGACACAGTGCGGTTAATCGTTCTCGCGCCTGGCCATTAACAGATGTCTTCCCTGCTACGGCGATGACAACTTACAAAGAACGTCCACCACAGCCTTCGTCTCAGACCAATGTCAATATGCGATCGGTCCAACTGACCAGTCTTCGGCTCCCGGTGAAATCCTCCATGCTGAGCATGTCGGATCGCGACCGTTGTCCACCACCAGGACGAGTCGCGATGAACTCTAGATGGCGGACGAGGGCTCCACCAATAGACCAGGGCTATTGCTTTTAAACACAACAGAAGGTTTGGCTCCTGATCACCGTAGAATAACTGCTTCACACGATCGTAATAGCTGGCAGGCTCTGCATGGATTATCACTGGCGGCTGGACGTGGCTTGCGGCCAGGGAGAGTGCATTCATCACCAACGGGGATATGTTCAGATCACCATGGATGGTTTTCTTGTCGAGAACAGGGCACCAAGTAGAGCAATACTCGAAGTAAGTCTCCTCAAATCCCTGCACGAGCTCTGGTGGCGGCAAATCAACAAATGGTGAAGGCACCCCTGCCTGCCTCCTTTGATCATCGGCATTGAGTCGTATCTCTGAGCCATAGATCTCGCCGTATCCCGGATCGCCCAGATAGCTATCCGCAGCATCCGCCTGATGGGAGGAGATCAATTCACTTCCGAGTTGAGCAAATGCCTCCTCGTTAGGTTGGCTGTCATGACGATAGTTCTCTCTTGCTAGCGACGCGGCAGTGCACAGGTCATCCAGCCTGAAAGACGATATGCCGTCGTTGATTCTCGAGGGTGTGTCACCCCTGCAAAGACCATTACTGGAGCTGTTTGATTCCGGAGGAGTTGTACACGGGACAATTCGGCTTTCGTTGGCGGGAATTGTGTTCAATGTCTTGCTACTTTGACCCTTTCGCTTGGACGGCCGAGTGCTGGACACAGGCATATCATTAAACTGCATCTTTAAGAAATTAACATGAAGCCTACCTGCAGGCTACACCAGCTGCTGCGCAATTACTGCACTTGCTGCATCCCCGCCCGGAGGTTTCCTGCAGATCGCATCTCACCTGCGATGCATCAGATCAGTACCACTAGAAACTCCACGGTCGGCCAAACCTTTCTCTCGTGACAACCAACACAGACAATAGCGGCTCTGCGTTTCCTTGTTCTATGGGCAGTAAATTCCTGAAAGCGATAACCGTCGGTCATGTTGCGTGTAGGAAGAACATGAACAGCGATGCCGGGAGGAGCCCAAGCAGGTGGAGATAGGGCTCGACAGATCATGCGGGGAAGACATCAGCTGTGGGCGTCTGAATACATGGGATCTTCCACTGCCAGCCACTCTCATCATCTCCTGGCTTTCACGGAACCTCCATCCAGGACCGACTCAGCCGAGAAAGGCGGAGATCACCTCGGCAGGATGGATGCGGGGCAGTAGATTCGTCATTTCACCTCATTTTCCCATTTATCCCTGGCCGATTGAGCCCACCACTTGCAACACCCACCCCAATCACATTATCTCCGACTGACATGGCTGATTTCTCCCAATACACCGGTCCTAGCGAGGAGTGGCTGGCGTTGGAAGCAACCCTGCCAGCGCTTCCGGATTTCGCCTCCTTGGAAGCCCTCAAAGCCGAAGCCAATGCGGGGCGTGAAGCCATCGCTGCGAAGGCCCTGGTCGCGGAGGGTAAGAAACCTCCCCTTGTATTATGACAGATACTGACTTTAGTGTACCAGGTCTCCAATCACAGGTCGCTTTCCGAGACTATTCCATCCCTGCTCGCGACGGGACAGCCCTCGAGGCCAGAACATACCGTCCGGCCTCTCTGCCTTCTTCCCAGCCTCTCCCCGTGTATATCCACCTCCACGGCGGTGGATTTCTAATGGGGACCCTTGCATCGGAAGACGCAATTTGCTCGCGTATTGTCTTCGGCCTGGTCGCTGAATCAACCCCGGTGGTCGTAGTCAACGTCAACTACCGTCACACCCCGGAGCACAAATACCCGATTCCCTGGAACGACGTCGAAGATGCCTTCCACTGGGTCCACGACTATCTTGTGGAGATTGGCGGCGACGGAGATCAAGTCGTCGTCGGTGGCATATCGGCTGGTGCCAATTTAACCGCCTCGTTGGTGTTGGCGCAGAATATGGGGACTGACGAGGCCTTGGCCAAGCGACCAAAGATAAAGGGTCAAGTGTTGATGATCCCGGTATTAGTGACGCGGAATTGTTACGCGAAACACCTTGCGAGGCTGAAAGATCCACAAGTGTCGAGCTACGTGCAAAATGAACATGCCCCGATTCTACCAGTCACTCGAGTGGACTTCTTCACTGGACTCTTGGGATCCCCTGAGGTCGACACAGACCCGCGGTTGAACCCGGGTAATGCGACGGCCAAACAAGTACAGGGATTGCCACCGACCACGTTTGGTATTGCAGGCAGAGATCCGTTGAGGGACGAGGGGCTCTTGTATGCGATGTTACTTAGTGAAAATGGGTAAGCAATTTCTGCAAGTGAATGACGCCACCGTCAAGCTAATTATAATGCCAGTGTCCCCACGGATGTCAATGTCTTCACTGGGCTGCCGCATGGGTTTAGAAGACACGGTACTCTTTCTGAAAGTAAACGATGGGACGCAGTGATAAACTGGGGAATCAAGTGGGCCTTGAGTGGTCCTACTGGCACTGGGTCGTTTGAGATCAAGGATAAATGAAATGCTCATGGTCTTGGATTGTACGTAGATTTTCATATTCACTCAAATCGCATTCAAATTCTAATTAGAAACCACGAGAAAGGACTCAATGAGTATCAATTCCCCGGGGCGCTCCCTCTGCAGTTCGGTTCTTGCTCCATCCTTCATCCCACCTATCCCCGATGATCTTTAGCTGAACCTCCTGCGTTCGTTTGAAATATCCTTCATCAATATGATCATCCATATCAACATCTTTATACCCCTCCTTCGCCACAGACTTGGGTGTTATCATCAATGAATGACCTGCCATTGTCAATATGCCATATTCTGCACTACACGCAACGAAACACATACCGTTAATTGTTCGATCGGTGGCCAGCTTCATCATACACTCTGCGACGTCTTCCTGCGGCGCAAATTCTACGCCCTTTTTTGTTAACTCTGCTTCGTACTCGGGCGAGCGTATGGCGCTTTTGATATAACTATCCAGGTTAGCTGCAATTCCATTGCAGTAATCAAAGAAGAGGTAAGCTACCATGGGGCGACATAGTTTATGCGAATCCCCTGCTCCCACGAGCTGCGTCGAGCGACCCGCATCAGCCCTCGGAGCCCGTATTTACTGCATGTATATTGCCAGTTTGCCTTGAATTGTCAGCATCCTTCGGTTAGACACCAAGGCAGTTGAAGGGAACATACAGGCGAGTCAATCCACGCGACCATGCTCCCTGTAATAATGAAACATCTATCTCGATCCGCGGTATTAGGCTGCCTGCGGAAATAATGCACCGCCAGTTTCCAGGTGTAAAGAGTCCCGGTCATATTGACATCCATGATGCGCAGTTCGGGCTTCACGGGAGGCTGATTCGGATCTGTCGCGGTCAGTCGGAACCCAAGAAGCGACGTGAAAACGTACCGTCCAGTGGCCACAGGTCATCTCCACTCGCGCGACTGATGCCCGCGTTGGCGATGACAATATCGCAACTCTTATGTGGAGAACTGGAAATAGCCGCTTCGAACACTTGCACCTGCTCTTCCCATGACGAAATATTGCATTTCACGAATTGTGCGTTCCTTTTCATCTTCAATCAGATTTCATTCTGACAATGAGGCATGTCTCAACTTACGGACGCAACTCTGCTGCTAGATCCCTCCCACGTTCTTCGTTCACATCGGCAATAGTCACAAAAGCCCTGGTGACGTCAGGATTCTATTGCTACCACAGGAAGAACAGAGACGTACCCCTCTGCGGCAAGGGCACGGACCGTTGCCTCTCCCATGCCATTTGCACCTATTATCATTAGCTTCTCACAGCTAGATGGGTTATACCAACATACCTCCAGTGACAACAACACTCTTCCCCCTCAGTTGCGTTCGATCAGGCGGGATGCTACAGTCAACTGGGCCGGTGTACTCGTAGGGCGGTAACTGAGGCATTGTGGCTACTGCGGGGATCAATGGCTATCGGCAGCCTTATTATCCACCGGAAATACAATTTAATATAATTTAATGAGTCTCGATAGTTGCAGGACCTTCTTCTCCGCACTTCGGCTTTGGACTCTGCGGGGATATCTTGGTCCCTCGGCTTTCCGCTTTGGGTTTACCGAGATGGCATAGTTAGTTGGTTCCCCCGAGGAATGCGGGGAGTAGGGAGTAAGAGGACATGGGCAAATTACACATTCACCAAAGTCACTCGGTCCCTGATCTTGCCCTTTCCCAGGTCTTCCAACACAGACGGTAAATCCTCTAGTCCTCTCGTCTCAACCTGAGGTTGAATAACTCTCTTGACGATCAGGTCTAAAACCTCAACTAGATCGCGATACTGTCCACCGTAGGAGAAAATAATGCTCAACCGCTTCCTAATTCCGATTTTCATGTCGAGTTTATTTTGACGGTCGCCAGTTCCTACACACAGGATCTTTCCACCGGGTCGTACTGCCCACGGTCATATCAGCGGTAAGTCAATCATTCAACGAGGGGCGGTTTGTACCTACCAATATTCTGCGCATCTCGAAAGGTTTGATTCGAGCCGACAAATTCCAACACGGTATCTATTCTCCCCTGCAGGTCATTATGTGCCACGAAATTCTGAATGGACTTTCCCACTGGGACAATATCCCCATTACGAATACCAAGCTCTGCGGCCGCTTCAAGTTTCTCTGCGCGAATATCCGACACAATAACCCTCGCTCCGATCGCCTTGACAATCTGCAGCGCATTGAACCCTAGTCCACCGAGACCAAACAAGAAGACCGTCTCTGACTTTCTAACTTCAGCTCGGCGAACGATGCCGTGGTATGCCGTGGTGACTGCGTCTGTCGCTACGGCTGCAATTTCGGATGGAACAGCTAGTATTTTGTCAACACCCTTTCATGTTATCATATCAGATAAAATGGAATATCACCGTCTGGCACAGGGATAGCAGCTCGCTCATCGATAGCCACATATTCCGCGTAGAACCCGTCTTGGCCAATTCCGTGATGCTTGCCAGTCGGGCAAAGCTGTGCCAGATCCCGGGAACACTCGCTGCATTTTTCTTTGCCACAGCCTGGGACAGCAAGAATTGCAATACGGCTCCCCTAAACTGGTGTCAGCTTTGCATGTACTTGCTAGAATAACCTGCGAGACTACCAGTTCGAATCTGCTATCGTTGACTTCTTCTCCTATGGCCACTATCTCGCCACATCCCTCGTGTCCCTACATTTGCATTAACCTTTAGCGACAAGCAAAGTGACCAAGGCTTACCAGGATATATTTCTCCTCGAAATGAGGACGATCTTCAACATCTAACAGAACTTGATCACTGCGGCATACTAGGAAGTGTTGGTTAATTGGATAAGGTACAGTACAAATAGTAATCACGCAACATACCACCCGCGGCCAACAGCTTGACCAGAAACCCGGTAGATGGAGTTTGGGGTACAGGGACAACTTCCCATACCTTAGATCTCGAATTGTTAGCTGTATGCTATCCCTAGTTGAGATTGGGCCACTTACAGGTTTTGAATGCCCCTTGTGCTTTCTCCAAGCGTGCATAGTTTGCGGGGTGGGGATTGCCATTTCTCGACCAGGACCTTTTAATGTAAATTCGTCAATGTAGCTCGAAATGGGTTCCTAGATCGAAGTGATAGCCAACTGACTGAGTTGGCATGGGCATTTTAAATATTTTCCATGCACTCCTGCGTAGGGATAACCGAGACTCGGCTACTTCCATCCCGACAATTGAACCGACATGGCGCCCAACTGATAGATTTTCTTAATTTCACATGACAGGGTAAATTAGTTCCTGCAAGCTGTAGGAAGCCATGACACAAGAAAATCAAACAAATCTGCAATTCGAATATATCTACAAATGTTATGCCGCCCCCAGGTACAGAAGTTCAATAACAAACAGCAATCCCATCACCAGGCCAAGCTACCACCAGCACCATTCTGCTTGCAGTAGTAATTCAACTCATCTCCACCAATATGCTGCCCTTCGGACTGGCAGTAGTACAGAAGATCTTGGTCACTCAAGAGGGTGCAGTCAGGGCATTGGTCCCACTGCTTGTCGCCGGTGTTTCGGTTCTTGTAGGCAGTGCACGCCTTGTCTGTTGCGTCTTTGTTGTACACTTGCTGTAGGATATCAGCACCTCATCGTCATCCTAACGCCTAGGAGGAACTGACCACATCATCTCCGGGGGAGTCGTAACAAATGCCTGTGTAGTGGAGGTCGGCGAAGACGCTTCAGGACGTTAGCATAAGTCCAATAAATATGGCAAGGTATCATACCCGATAGCAAGGGTTGAGGCAAGCAGCGAGAGGGAGAGCTTCATTGTGATCTAGTGACTGAGTTGTGTTGGTGGCTGAATCTGAGCTCGATGGGATATGGCCGATCTATATTCAACTTCCGTGGCTGTCCGGCTAGCTACATTTAAGACAGACAAGTCACCGCTTGTCCGGGGGTATGTCATTCCATCCCCTAGTTTGAAGCTACATCCTGCCATGATACGAAAAGCCGAAGATTCTCCAGAAAGAAGACGCAGGTCAACCCCAAAAGACAATGTCTACGAGCGTACGTGACTTCAGCTCGACATGGCGATGTTTCACGTTGGGACCTTGGCGGCGTTGATAAGACGGACTGAATCCTTTTCCACCGTTTTGCGCCTGAATGTCTCAGTTGCAACCTAATTGTGGTCTCATCATGCTATGGGGCTCAATGAATGCGGAAGCGATCATCGCGGCTACGAAATTGAAGTTCCGAATGCAGGGCCGCAGATCTGCGTTCTGCTTGTCCGGAGGCGCAGAAAGCCAAAAGAGGAACACCCTGGGGACAGCTTTAATTTACTTTAATCTATTTAGATTCATACCCAGGGTCCTTTCTACTGGTCGGAGTTCACTTGCAAAGAGTTCTTCCCGCACTATCAGACGCCGCCGTTGCACCTTTCCCCATGAGTTAGTCCACTAAAAACGATTGACAGGTACATGTGCCCTAAAATAACGTTTCTGCACAGTCGGGGCCTTCTCTTCCGCCGTGATCCGGTCTCTGACTTCGTTCAGCTGGCTTGATGATCTGCACGCAAATACCTCATGGATCGTCTTGGTCCGGGGTTACTTCGGGAGTTTCATCATCGAAGGATTCTGCCGTTCTATCATGACAGGCACAGGATTTACGTCGACTCAAGCAGGGTCTAGCGGTGAGCTATCGTGCGATGTCGGGTCTTCTAGCTAAGTAGAAGTCAATAAAGTTCTCTTGTTCTATATAGACCCTCTTTCCCATAACTACCTCCTCGTTCCTCTGCAAAAGTCGACAGCATTTCATCTCAGTTCCCTGTACATATCCAGCCACCAACATCATGAAGACCCCTTTCATTCTGTTCGCCTCGCTCTGCGCGGTCACCTCTGCCCTACCTCACGATCAGTCGGAAACCCCGCAGGACTCGGGACTCGACAAGGCTACCGTCCTCCTCAACGATGGCAGCACCGTGACCGTCGACAAGAGAGATCTCTCCTCGCACCTGGGCAGCGTCGCACTCGCTCCCCCAACCAACGACCTTCCCAAACGTCTCTCTAGCAGCCACATCACCCATCTGACCAAGCGCGGCTCCGACGCCCAACTCATCATCCCCCTTCCGGACCAAGAATTCCTCGGCTGGGACATCGCCATGTCCACCGTCACCCACGCCAACGAAGCGGACGCCACAGTCGCCATGGCCTCGGGCCAAATGATCGCCAACAGCATCACAGTGGGCAACTCGTTTGGCGCAAGCGTGGAGAGCTTCCTCACCGTCACCACGAGCATCGACTACGGCCACACGGAGACCAGCACGCTGACCGGCACCGTGACCATGACGATTCCCAAGAACAGATGGGGCGCAATCGTCAGCAACCCCTTAACGCAGCGCAAGCGTGGATACGTCTTCAGCGGACAGCCCGGCAGTGGCCAGTTCGAGTACTACCAGGCGGATTCGTTCAACTCGGAGACTTATACCTATGGCGAGAGTTCGTTGTCGTGGGTGAAGGGTGTCATGACCACTTGTCTTGGGGATGGATACCCGCTCAAGCGGTGCAATGGTGATGGAGAGCTGAAATAGATGCGCTGTATATAGACTCTTTGGGGTTGATGTGATTGTATGGTGGGGTGTGCTGGGTGGTTACGTGTATATGGTAGTTGACTTCATTGGCATCTCGAGTGTGCATGCTTGGTGTAGATTCTCGCGATGGTGTCTCCGTGAGGGGATGCCGAATTTTGTACATGTCAGTGTTTCATTCTAGGTAATTGATCTTCCGATCGTTCATATTCAGCTAGAAAAAATGTATTGTAAACCCCTGCATACGTCCGGCCGTGCCATTCCGTCAACCAGCAAAGACATCCATCAAACCAAGCAGTTCTCCCCACCGATGATCCTTCTGCACCTGTATCTTCCCTTCAGGCGTAATCACTTTGTATTCATCTTCCTTCCTTGTCCCGTAATCGTATCCCCGCTCATTTTCAACGAAAGCCGACAAGTCGCGGATCCAGTCGGTCATCAGCTGCCGTTCCGCCTCAGTCGGACCATGCATGATTGAATAACTGTAGATGCGTTAGAAGAACCCATATAACACATAGTCTAAAGTGAATTACTCACTTCCAGAATGGTCGATCCATAGCGTGGCTAACGCCAAACGATTCTGGGGCCACCTGTGGCGTGATGAACGACAGGCGATACGCGATCAAATACCGCCACACATCTCCAGCATCCACGCCGTTGGACAGCAGGTTGTCAGCTAGAAAGCGCGAAGGAGCTCTGACTTGACCGTCCGACACGATGCGTCCAAACACGGCCTCCCAGTCCTTTTTCTCGGTCGATGTGGGCAGAGGGTAATGCTGCAGCAGACGCGACGTCGTGGACGGGGAGTAATAATTGGAGACTTGCAACTCGAGGGACTCGCGACTAGCCTCTGGCCCATTTGTCACGGCGTATAGCGTCTCCTCGTTCAACACCTCTCCGATGAAGATGCGAAGTCCCCGGCGCTTGAACTCGCGAGCAAACGACCCGTCGCGGTAGTAGTGGAAGATATCTGGGTGTATGAAGACTCCGTCAGTGACCGGACGGAAAGTGTGGTGTTTCAATTTCATGATCGCATCGCACATGTCCTGGGCGCTGACCTGACGCAGTGCAGCCAGCTTTTCCGACCCCGATAGTGAGGACGCCATGCCGAAATGGTCGCACAGCTCGTCGAATTGCGGCTGACAGTCCTCTGGTGTTTTTGGCTGTGTCGAAATCGCATTCGAGTACATGATCAGCCGATGGAAGTTGTCTCTCGACGACTCCGGCAGATCTCCTCGAAAATCGTACAGAGTCTGCGCCTGAACCGCATATGCACCAGCACTTCGTCCAGAGAGCGTGATATTCTCTGGGTCGCCACCAAACGCCGCGATATTCTCATAGACCCATTCCATGGCAATTCGCTGATCCCAGAGACCGTAGTTACCCACTTCCCCTGCATGACTCTCGTCTCGCAAGGCATCACCCGCCAGGAAACCAAAAACGTTGAGACGATATCCCACAGCAATGAACACAGCATTCAGATTGCCCGTCGAGATCAGCTCGGTCGGATTCATCGCCTCTTCCTGACTAGGATCGCCAATCTGGAACCATCCTCCATGAAACCAAACCATCACCGGCCATTTGGGATCAGCTTCTCCTTCTTTGCGAACGGGCGTCCAGATGTTGAGACGCAGACAGTCCTCCCCGAACGTGTGCTGTGGGATCTTCTTCTTCACCGACGCGGAATAATTCGGCTGAGGACAGACCTGACCAAATGCAGTCGCATCGAACAGTTTGCCCTCGGTCGAGTAGGAGTACGATTGGGGCAATGCCTCAGGCTTGCGCCATCGTCGCTCACCGGTGGGTGGCAGGGCATATGGGACGTTGGCAAAGCGACGGGCTTTTTGGTCGTACTGCAGACCCTTAATACTTCCCTTCGAGCCGGGTAGTTGTACCTCGCACTCAGAGGACTGATAGGAGATGTTGTTGCCCATGTTCAACCAGGTTTTCACGTCAATACTCTTTCCCGCAAAGATATATCTCTGAAAGAGGAAGTGAAGTTAAAGCCTCGCGCACCGTTAATCTGACAGAAGACGCAATCCACCCTTGCTGTCACGACAGAAACCCGTGTGAACCCACCTGCTCACTAGCACTATTTAATTCCCCTCCTTCGCCTTTTCAATTGTCCGGGTTTCCTCCTTTTTTCGCGTCTCCAACTGCCGGGCGTTGCTGATTGGTCACTTTAATCGACGACGTGGCTGAGTCAGGGATGAGTCAGCATCAGCGATACGCGGCCTCAGGCTGCTCTGTTATTCTTTCCTTCTCGCCTTCTTTCCGATCCTCGACATGGCAATCACCGAAGCAAAGACATTTTGGCGATAGATAGCACCGCCCTGACTCCAGCTGATACGACACCTCTGCGATATGAAGAACCCCCGCGGATTGTATCCATGGGTCCCAACAATGGCGCTGCAGACAGACCGCGTCGGGCACGAGTAGAGCGAGGCAAGCGGTCCAAGAATGGTTGGTTCTACTCCTTTTTGCCTTGCATCCACCCTAAATAAGAAATAGGATGCGCAACATGTCTCGGCAAGAAGGTCAAATGCGACGAGCAGCGTCCCTACTGCGGTCGTTGTGTGCGTTTACACCTAGCCTGCGAATGGACCCGACCCCAGCCCTCGCTGGCTGAGAGGCGTCGAGGTTTGGGTCCTATCAAGCGCCGCGATAGACATATTTGGTCCCCTTGCTCGATTGTACCGAAGGCGCAGTCGAACCAGTCGCCACTATCGGGTGAGTCGGCTTCATCTGCGCACTGTGACCATCCGGCAGTCACCGAGGCCGGCGATCAAGGTTCCGACGACAGAGCTGCGGAAACTGTTTATTCCTCCGTCCCAAACTCACAGAATAGGATAGAGCGAGGTGAACCCACCGGATTGACTGTTGCCAATGACTACGAGCGTGATGCGGTACTCTTAAGCTATGGAACCCCGGTCTCCCTAACCAACAGCGTTCCCGACGGCATGCATGAGACTCTTCCGCTGCTACAACTGCCAGCGTCGCTCCCTATATTGATGCCGTCCAATACATCCTTCATTCATGTCACCGACATAGCCCCCGCTCTTGGCAGTAACGACAAACAGGCTCTTATCTTCCATCGCGCGGTCTTTGCCCCTTTGAAGTCCACCCGACACTGGACATGTTCAGCACAGGCCTTGTTCGTCAACCGGGCATTTGATAAACGCATGGCTTTCCACTTCTTGCTCGCTCTATCCTACAGCGAGCTAGCTATCTACTATGGACACGGTTCCCGACCGCCGCAGGAGTCCAAGAGGCACTTCGAACAGGGCGCTCAGCTGTTTTTGCAGACACAAAATCCATTCGCGTCCCCGGACCACATTGGCACAATGCTCTCCTTCCTCTATCTTTATATGTTCTGGATGCGACGTGACCGACTGGACCCGATGAAGCTCGAGGATCTGAGCGAATCAGTGATGCTTTACGTGAGAGCGCACGAGCTGGACGAGCTTTGCGCCAGCGAAGATTTGGCTTCGCTCACGGGGGCCAGTTGCACGAGGCTGGCGTCCCCACTCGACCAAGCTCTCTTAGCTAGAATCCTCGTCTATCTGTACGACCGCGACGGGTTTTGCAGCTTCTTCGGCTGCGGTGGCTCCTTCGCGCGGCAGATGAATGAAGATGCGGAGAAGCGACGGAAGATTTGGATCCGGTCGCGCACTGCGTTCTTGCTTCCACAATCTCCGTACAGCGTATTTGACGCGGAAGACGCGGCAACCCTGGATGCCTACTTTGACTTGATTGTCTTGCATCAGGAAGTCAACGAATACAGCCAGAGCTCGGAGCAAGAAGCAGCCGAAATCGAACCCCGACTGAGACGTCGAATGGAAGCAGTGCAACAGGTGAGTAGACCCAGCTGAATTTACGATTGCGTTCTCACATAGATATATAGGATCATTCATTTATTCCGTTTGATGGACTGCAAAGCGACGCTCGACTCTCGCTCATGCCGTACGTCACGATAACCTTCTTTCATGCCCTCCAGTTGTATTTCTACCGAAGTCGTACATCTGGCTTCGGACAGCGACCGATTTCAAGCGATCTGCAAATGACTCTAAGCACGCTAGTTTCGACTGCATATCATACCATCAATGCTGGGTCGGTCCAGCTGCTCGAGCGCTTCCAGTGGTCGTTATTTATTGGAGCCCTGGAGACCCATGACCCCGTTCACCGGCAGTGGCTCCTGGACCATATTTCTGATCCAGGCCTGAGGGAAGGGATCCAGTTGATCCAGACGATCAAGCCAGCATCTGCCAATTGCATCACGATAGCCAAACTCAGATGGCTGATCGGCGGAACTAAATCGGGCGGGATGGTTAGTGCGCGTCGGTAAAACAGGACTCGATTCCCTTCATCCCTGTTCACCACTTGTTCTGCTGTGTTGTCGAGTTGGTTAAAACCTCTCCAAGACGAACGAAATATTACCAGATATCAAAAGCCAATTATCTGCAACAATGACCAACCGGGGGCGACGTATTAGCATGTTATCTCCAATCCCCTCGACTAAGTGGACCGTCGAACCGAGATCGGCCTCGTCGCGTCGATTAATCGGGCCAATAACGTGGGTTATGGTCCGTTGCAAAGATGCCCCGAGCTGAATCCTCTGGATTTATTGATTATCTGGACGACCCAAAAACATAGATGCAAGAGCCGAGCCCGATTTCTCCACTTTGTTATCTTCTGCGGCTGCATCCCCGCGACCTCCCTTTTCTTAGCGCTGACACCCTGGATTTACAAATTTCATATATCAGTCCGGTGCCCACTAGCCCCATGGTTTCGTCTCTCGTGCCGTTCCCGTGAGTTTGCGATCGCCTGGCCTCTTGTGGATCGGCCCAAGGAATCTTTTTACCTTGCTCCTTCTCACCATGTCGGCTCCTCAACCTACTGCTGATGTTGAGGCCAAAGAGCCCGTACAGAGCGACACCATGCCGGCCGAGAAGGAATCGGGGGCTACCGATATCTTGGGCCCTGAGGAAGAGAAGAGGCTTGTTAGAAAGATCGATTTGCAGTATGTCGCATCGGTGCAATATTCAAGGATTCTAGCTAACCCGGCTAGCTTAATGCCTTTGCTCATTGTCAGCTACGGCCTGCAATACCTCGACAGTAAGACTTTTACGATGATGGTCGGTTCGTGACTCATCGATTGGACAGAAACTAGTTTGGCCTACAGTGCCATTTTGGGCATTCGCGAGGATTTGGTATGACCTTTCCCGATCACCACGAATGATGGCTAACCCCGATAGAATCTCGTCGGACAAGAATTCAACTGGGCGTCGAGCATCTTCTATATTGGCTACCTGGTCGCCTCGTGGCCGATCTCTCTCGGTTTTGTCCGCTTTCCTTTAGGCAGATACCTCAGTCTCTTGATGTAGGCGCATTGATTACTGTGACTATGCAGAGCTAACATGATCCAGCTTGCTATGGGGCATCGTTCTCACCCTTCATGCCGTCGCTGGGAACTACGCCGGGCTAATGGTCCTAAGAACCTTCTTGGGTATCTTCGAAAGCGCCATCAGTCCTGGTTTCTCGCTCATCACTGGAATGTGGTACACGCCCAAGGAACACATGTCTCGTCACTCCTTCTGGTTCGCAGGCAATGCCACCGCCAGCATTATCGGATCGATGATCGCATACGGCATCTTGCACTACGGCGGGGGGTTTTCCCAATGGAAGGTGAGCGCCCTTGTCCACATATCTACTCTCCGCTGGAACTATTCTAACCTGTCCAGATGCTTTTCCTGATCTTCGGACTGATCACCATCGTTTGGTCCGTCGTGCTGTGGTTCTACCTGCCCGATGCGCCGTCAAACGCCCACTTCCTCACCCCGACTGAGCGCGAATTCGCCTCGCTGCGACCGAAGAAATTCCAGCGCACCACGCAGACCAAGCAATGGGACAAGGCGCAGTTCATCGAAACCTTCCTAGATCTCAAGACCTGGTGGTTTCTGCTGTTTTCTTTTATCATCTGCGTGCCTAACGGCGGTATCACCAGCGTATGCTTTCCTTCTCTTCTCGTCTTCTCTCTCTCTCTCTCTCTCTCTCTCTCCGATATCCCCTACTAATATGCAACAGTTCAACTCGATCATAATCAACAGCTTCGGCTACGACAAATTTCAAACCATCCTCATGGGTCTCCCCGCCGCCGCATTCCAGCTAACGACCGTGATCCTCGCCGCGGTCTTCACGACGGTATTCCGCAAATCACGCCTCTGGGCCGTCATCGCCACCTTCCTCCTCGCCATGGCCGGGGTCCTTATGATCAAGCTGCTCCCAACAGAGAAGAAGCTCTCCCGACTGGCCGGCTACTGGCTCGTAACGGCTGTGTCGCCAGCGTTTCCACTCATGATGTCCCTCTTCGCTAGTAACATAGCCGGATTCACGAAGAAGTCGACCGTCGTGGCGCTGATCTTTGTGGGCTACTGCGTGGGGAATTTCGTGGGACCGCAGTTCTTTGATAACAAGGAGGCACCGGGATACGGGGTATGTAACTGCACACTGACCCACCCCTAACCAACTTTTTACTTCCCCATACCTCCATCCCCTCGAGCCCCCTCCCATCTCTCCCATCATCCAACGTCTCACTCACCCTTGAAACACGAAACACGAAACACAAAACCCAACCCCCCTCCACGCGCAATAAAACTCTAACGAAGATCCCAAAAACAGACAGCATACACCACCATCCTCACCTGTTTCGCCATTACGATCGTCATGGCAATCATTCTACGGATCTACCTCTCGTGGACGAATTCGCGCCGAGACCGCGAACAGGGCGTTCACATCGACCCGGAAGAGACTCGAGAGATCGATTTACACGCAGACGAGGAACTCGAGGGCGTGGATGAGACGGATATGCAAAATCGCGGCTTTAGGTATATTCTTTAATCTAGCTGATCGGTTGGTCTGGGGGGAAGTCATGGAAGCGTTTTGTGTTGGTGGGGTGGTTTATGAGTTTCGGTCGCTATGGTTTATTTAATAATGAGATGGAATTATAAAGAGTATTTAAGCAGTATTTGGAACATGATTTGGAACATGATTACTGGACGTAAAGCAAGTCTTTTCTGGGGGTGGGGAGGGATTTGAGCAGAGCGATAATAATACCCGACCATGACTGATGATCGCGGGGAATACGTTACAGGTGTAAGCCATCGAGTAACAAGAATAGCAATGGGCAAAGAGAAATATAAATATATCAAAAAAAAATAAAAGAAAAAGAACAAGAAAAAGGGTGGAGCAAAGGGAAGGAGCGCATCTGTTCTTTGCCCGGTGAGAGCATACGGAGAAGCCGCGACTGAGAGCTGCGAATAGCGTTAATTTCGCCGAAAGAGGTAAGAGCCATTTCCCCCATGAGTCCACCACCGTGAGCCCAGTTGAGGCACGTCTACTCTCGAATTACAACGAGCATGATCGCAGCAGTGAATTGAATTTCTCAATCGACCAAGGCTGTACATGGCCGGGATATTATTATCTAGTATCTAAGAAGAGTGTCTTGCCCGTCAAATTTGTATTTACACCAACCACGAAGGCGGAAGACCATCGAATGCATGCACGTATGCGGGGTATCAAGCCTATGCAAATCTCTCAAACAAAAGCCGAGAAGCAAGAGTTCTTAGCATCCTCTTCCTTCCAGCCGATACACTTCCAGCAGCTGAGCAGGCTCTTGGGATCGTACTTGGACTTGATCTCAGCGAGCTTGTTGTAGTTGTCGCCCCACCAGGCCTCCTGCCAGTCCTTGGTGAAGGGGTTGGCCTCGTTGCTGTAGGCGCCGCTGCCCGGAGTGATGCGCTCCAGAGTAGCGGTCATGTTCTGGATGCTGGAGATCTTCTGCTGGCGGGTTTCGAGCGTGCTGTTCCAGGCCCAGGCGGCACCGGAGCCCAGCTCCCAGACGGCGGAGCGCCAGGCGGGAGTAGCACTGGTGGAGCCCTCGGTGTAGTTGTACAGGACGGGGCCGACGACAGGGATGTACGGGGACTGGCCGACGTCGAGGATGAGAGAGAAGAAGTCCATCAGGTTCTGGCGACCCTCGGCGGTCTCGAAGACGTTCTGGGGGATCAGACGGCTGCCGGCGAAATGGGTGACGCCGACCTGGACGGAGCTGGAGGTCACGTACTTGTCGTAGAAGTCGTACCATGTCGAGAACTCTTCGATGGTGGCGGAACCGCCCTGGGCTTTCGCGTAGGAGATCACCTCGGCGAGGGATTCCTTAGCTTGGTCGATGGAGAGCAGGGGAGAGACGTTGACGAGGGTGTTTCCGGTGATGTGACCACCCCAGCCCTCCTTGGCCCACTTGAGGGTATTGTTGACGACGATGTCCATGAAGGGCAGAACGTTGGTCTTGGTCTTGGGGAACTTGATGTTGGCAGACACGAACTTGATCTCGGGCTCGACCTCGTGGGTGGTCTCCATCACCACACCGAAGGTACCTCCACCGCCACCACGCAGGGCCCAGAAGAGATCGGTGTTCTGGCACTCGTTGGCGACGCGATACTTTCCGTCGGGGGTCACCACCTTGAACTGCAGCACACGATCAACGCCGAGACCGTACACGGGGGACAGAATTGAGTGGCCGCCGTTCTGCACCCAGCCACCGGACAGACCGACGGTAGAGGAGTAACCACCCAGAATGGTCACCTTGTGCTCGTTGGCGAATTTGTACGCCTCGTCGAAGTTGACGCCAGCACCGCCGGTGATCGCCTTGTAGCTGGTCGAGCATCCCTCGGGCTTGAACGCCTCGTCGTAAGACAGATTGCGCAGGTTGCGAGTCCATAGTGCGAGGGCATTCTTGCCGCTGCTGCGGGTCAGGTAGTCGTGGCCGGTGTTCTTGATCACCAGGCGCTGGCCGGAGCAGTTCGAGTACTTGAACGCCTCGATGGCGTCGTTTTCGTTCTTGACCTCCAAGTAGTAGGAGGGCATGTTGCCCTGACGGCAGTTGGCATTATTGTCAAAGGCCAGACCGTCGGTGGGATCACTGCTGTCGAGCAAGCACTGGTCCTTGGGGTCCGACGAGCACATCTCCACCTGGTTGTTCATGTAACCATTCACGCTGTTAGTGCGCATCCAGGGGCTGGTGTAGTTCGCCTGGACGGCAGCACAGGCCGCATCATCCGGAGTCACAGCCTTGCCGTTGTATTCGGAAAAGCATGGCAGCGAAAAGGGCGTCAGGGGCTGCACGCGGCCCTGGACGGTGGCATTGAAGCTATCCAGGGTGCACTGCGACTGGGGAGCCGGGCAGACTCCAACAGCCACGGTCGAGCCCAAAAATTGGACTGCCAGCAGGGCTAGCGAAGATTTGAATCCCGAGACTGTGGAAGACGCCATCTTGCCACGCGACGATGAGACAATTCTGGAGAGGAATTGGGAATGGGCGAAGATCTCTTCCACAATTTGAGAAGTGCCGCAGCCTCCAACTAAAAACAGTTGAAACGCTGGCCAGGAACGAGGCTAGGGAGGGGGAATTTTCCGGAACCCGGCTTTCATGCAAATACTATGTCTCTAGTTGGGGGCTGCGGGCGTGACCTACCCTGGATCAGGTGAATCTAGGGCGTCAATAGCGTAGGTACAGATGCCACGGAGAACGGACATGGAACGCTCGTTGGAATCGTGATAACTGCTAACTACTGCGGAGTAACGCTATACGGGATAGTCCTGGAGGCGTTATCGATATTCGATGGGGATTTGGAGGCGCGGCGTTGTTAGACTTGAAGGAAGGTTCCACCAGCAACTCCGTGCCGGATTCAAGTGGCCCCATGGACCCAAAGTGGCCACTCAGCTGGAACTGATCGGCATGGCTGCTTTCCCAAAGGGACAAGTCGGACCGATCTCGGGTTAAGCTTTTCCTCTAGGGTTTCGGTCGATTTCCGAGCGTCGTGGGAAGTATCTTGGCTTGCTTTTTATCGCGCGGTGGACCGGTGGATGTTGAGCAACGCGCAAGGACCGTATATCGCCATTCACCCGGCAGATCGACAAACGCTCACCGGCGAAGTCGATTTTGACCTTCAAGAGCGGTTGCGACTTGCGAATGACAGTTCAACGTGCGAAAGGGACGATCAGGGCGTTCATCGCGCCTTGTTTCGGGATATCAACCGCCCTTCGAAAACAAGCTCATTGCCCTGTACGTATCGGATGGATGGAGGTCAATATGTTTCCCACCCCACTGGTCTCCATCTTATATTATGCATTGGAGTCTCGCAGAGGTACACCACGTTGTCTGGTGGAACACGGCAAATCAGGCCACCTGGGCAATCTAAAGTGGACGCTCCTTCCCAACACCTTCCGAGACCATTGTCTTGTGTATGCCGGAGTGGACGAAAGAGATTTCTGATCAGAACTACTCCGATAATCCACATTAGTGTCTCAAGTCGATAGGTTCATAAGCTAAGATAGTCTCATCCGGGACTATGGAGAACTAGAAATTCTTCGGGATTCCTCAAGCAGGAACCGAGATCGTAGACAATCGTTGCCCCTTGCATAAAGATTCATGCCGCACAAACTCCTTCCTTCGGTAGATGATCTTCCTGCGTCGTCACCCCGGAGTCGACCAGGGACAGAACATTGATCGGGGCGTCTCAGGGAACTCCAGGGTCTAACAGAGGCTGTAGTGATTGTTCTACTCTGTACACTGGCAACCATTTCCTCCTAACTCCTTAAAAGTAATGGTCGCGGAGGATTTGCCATCTTGAATCAACTCTTGGCACCCACATAGTTGGGCATGACATCAAATCGCCCCAAACCTCTCGCCGGATGGGGGCTTTGTCAAAGTCTATCGGAGACTGTCCTGTGGTTATGCTTGATCAGTAACGCCGGGTCTAGCCAATTAATCTTCTTAGATTGCTGGCCCGTTCTGCATTCAGAGCACACGGCACCGTGTGCACAAGATCGGAAAGTAATTTAAATAGAAAAAGTAGAAAAAAGTTGTCTCAAATAAAACCCAGCGGTCGCCCTGACTTGCCCCTCGATGGAAATTCGATCCGCCTTGTCGATCGTCAGTGCGCTGTCGTGGACAACCACCTGAGTCAGGTCCCTCACAGTGCAGGATGGCCTACGAAGAGAATCGATATTGGAAGAATGTGCTCACGGTTGTGCCCATCGTGGGTGCGGCTCTGGCCACTATCTCGTATGCCCTGCGACTGTTTTCGCGAAGATTCACCGGGGCCGGGTTCAAGTTAGAGGATCTTCTGATGGGCATTGGCTTGCTGATCTCCTACTGTGCCACTGCCTTTGTTGTCTACAGTTAGTGTCCCTTCGAGCGTGACGCTGCAGCCCAGTCACTAACATCTCTGCTTGTGTCCAGCGGCCTTCAATGGCGTCGGTATCCCGGTCCAGACGCTTCCTCCTGGCGAACGACATCGAATTCAGTTTGTACGAACACTGTCTGGCCATAATACAATATCCAAGGTGCTAACCAGGTCGTTCCGCAGGGATCATGGATGATTCAGAAATTCTGGGCGCCGTCGATGGCCTTTATCAAAATCTCCATCGTTGTGTTCCTGAAGCGTCTTTTGGGCACCCTCCGAACGTATTCGATCCTTTCCAACTGCCTGATTGTGTTCATCGCAGTCTGGGCCGTGGTGGCCCTGCTGGTGAACATCTTCCAGTGCACTCCGCCTCAATACTACTACGACAAGACACTCAAAGGGCACTGTATGGCTGGACAGCGCGAGTTCTTCCAGTCCATGGGATCCATCTCCTTGATTGAGGATGTCATAATCCTCTGCCTGCCCATTCCGGTGGTGTGGAAGTTGCAGATCACGTTCCGACAAAAGATTGCCATTACGCTTGTGTTTTCTCTTGGTGGATTGTAAGCTCTCTCCTTCTAGTTCTATAGGGCAGATTTGCTGATTGTAAACAGGGTCTGTATCTTCAGTCTGATGCGACTCATCGAATTC